GTTCCATATTCCAAAGGCTGATTAAATACATAGTGAGACTGCCTCTCCAAGTCCTTCTACAAAGATAGATGAACCATATCCATGGGTTGTTCCATGTTACGAGGAACAACTTCATCCTTTTGCACCTTTCCATCTCTTCTCATCACCCAGCATGGAATTAGTCCCTTCTTTAAGATTGTAGAAAGAAAACTAAGCAAAGGAAACTAACCAAAGAGAGATGCAACCTAGAACTAAGGAGAAATTTCCTGACAGTCAGAACAATTAATCAGTGGAACAACCTGCCTCCAGAAGCTGTGAAAGCTCCAACACTGGAAGTTTTTAAGAAGAGACTGGACAGCCATTTGTCTGAAATGATATAGGGTTTCCTGCCTGGGCAGGGGGTTCAACTAGATGACCTCCAAGGTCCCTTCCAACATCATCACCACCACCATCATCACTATTATTATTATTATTATTATTATTATTATTATTGATCATCGCACAGTCAGCCAGATGTTCAGACTGGATTTGGCATTTTGTCTACCTATCGAGTCCTTACCCAGGACCTGGGATAGGCAGATGTGGATGTTTGATGGTATTACAGATATCGTCGCAGGATGGAAGCAGTTCCTATAAGGCCGCCTTTTGCAATTGACTAATAGCGAATTTGTCAATGCCAATGGTGTTCAAGTGGTGCTCCAGTTGTTTTGGGATTGCACCCAAGGAGCCTATTACTATTGGTACTACCCTTGCTTGCTTTTGCCACAGTCTTTCTATTTCTATTTGTAGGTCTTTGTATTTGTTATCTTCTCCAGTTCTTTCTCGTCTATTCTGCTGTCTCCAGGCACTGCCACATCCACTATCCAGACTTTTTTGTCTTTCTTATCGACAATTGTTAAGTCTGGGGTGTTATGTTGCAGGTGCTTGTCTGTTTGAATTCTGAAGTCCCAGAGCAGTTTAATTTTATCATTTTCTATGACTTTCTCTATTTTATGATCCCACCAGTTTTTGCTTACAGGCAAATGATATTTTTTGCAGATCTTCCAATGCACCATTGTTGCTACTTTGTCATGCCGCTGCTTGTAATCAGTCTGTGCAATCCTCCTGTTGGTGCAGCAGGGACTCTAGTGACTCTAGTGTGGCTCTAACTCTTTCAATCTCTTCCCTGAGTGATGGCTGGTGCTGCTGTAGGGCTGTTGGCGCTACAGGTGGATCCATCCGATTGCCATTAGTGGTATGGTTTGGTGGGTTCTGTGGGATAATAACGGTGGGAGATCTTGTGGCACTCCCCGCTGTGCAGTTGTTGCCGTTGCTGGGGTAATAATGATGGAAAGATCTTGTGGCACTCCCCGCTGTGCAATCATTGCCATTGCTGGTAATCCCATCAGATTCGATGTGGCAACAACGGCAGGAGGATCTCGTGACCTAGGTGTCATGACATCAACTCTGCAGTTTATTATTATTATTATTATTATTATTATTATTATTATTATTATTATTATTATTCAGGTCCAGTTTCAAGCTGGGAGTAAAAAAAATGGAGGCTAAGAAGCTAATCATTTTTCAATTTTGATAGAAGACAAAGTAATTGATAGCTAACCCTATTTTTCTATATCTTCCTTACTGATATTTCCTTCAAAGGAAATGTTACATTGCTCTCTGCTGTCTAAAATTCATGCTGTGCATTTTTCTTTGGCCATTATTCAAATGCCTTGGTTCGGGCCTTTCCAGTTTTGTTCTAGAAAAGGTAGCCAAGCTAAAAGGCTTGTGAAATTCCTAATACAAAAGGTGTGTCACTGTTGAAGCTTCTTTGGTACTTTAATACTTTAAATTAAGGAAACTGCTGTGCTTTCTCCACTAATTTAATTAAAGGGAAATCCCCAGGGAGGTTCCAGTATTTGTCTGGGATTGTATCTCTGCATCCTGCCAGTAAATAGGAATGGAGAAACGTATACTGATTACTGGTATACTTTCCCTAGTGGGAAACATAGACAATTTGTAAAGTGTGGCTGCCTTCTGGCAAATTAAGATCAACAATGCCCAGGTCTGCAGTTTCTATGAAAAATTTCCATAACACTTTTCTTCATTCTGATGTCTGATATCTCTGTATCTCTGTTTGTGTGTGCATAAATAAACATAATATCAGACCTAGTCAGAGGTTTGAGTTCAGAGAGCAATTTAGGCTGAGCATCATGCTCAAAGAAAACTCAATTTTAGAACACTGTTATTTTAAAATGTTCAAATAATAGGAGGAGGTTCTTTTTGATTAGTTGGCCATGTCTTGATTTCATGCATTATTGTATTTCATTTTTATTATAGTTAGGAGACTCAAAAACTGGAAGTGATTTGGGCTTCTATAAACCTGAAAGGGCCTGCACAGAGCATCTAGCAATATAGTTGTAAGAGTTAAATATTTACAAATGCAAACTAGAGTGGCTCTAGTTTCTATCAAACCAATTTCCTCTTTCTTCAGCCAAGGTTATCCCAACTCCTAAGTGCATCACCATGGAGAACCCGGTGGCTACATTGAAATGGAAAATGTGGAAAAAATGAGTTTGTGTTTGTATATAATAATATGCTTAATTATTTTTTTTTCATTTTGTAGAGTTCCAATATCAGCAAAAAAAAAAAAAAAAAAGACATTGGAACATGAATATCAAATGCCATGCAGAAGTCTATAATTCCATTCTAAACTATGCTGGCTAAGATTGCGAAACTAAATGTCTGATTTTTCTCTTGGTACAATGAATGATTCTGTTTGAGGAGTTTGAAATTATTTATAGAGCACTACAAAATATAAAGTTTAGATTTAAGATATTGGAGTGATGGCATGCTAACAAAGAAACCTGTGTTTCTCTGTGGATGCAAACAACTGCCACATTGTATATTCACACTTCCTGGTATAAAATTGCTCTCTTCCAGCCGTGGTTATTTCACTGCCTGTAATCTTTGATATCTATATATAAAACAGTGTTGCATACAGTGTTGTATGCAACATTGTATGGACAAGATAATCTTTAAACAATGTTAGCGTTGTCCCACAATTCACCTCTTTCCTTATAAGTAGGCTTTTCTTCACTTGTGTTTAATTGTTACAGAAACGTGTGCCAGCAATTCTTTTTCCCCCAACAATGTCTTCATAAATTGCTCTCGTATCATTCCCAATCCATAATGAGATAGCTTAAAATATTCTTAGCTGTTCTGTTGAGCTGTTAGCTGAGCTGTTCTTTAACAAAGTTGTTTTATCCACACTAAGTAAGTAACACACCACTGTAATTTTTGTCATAGGTACAGTCTGGAATGCTCCTGCAACTATTTGATTGATATTAAAGTCAACTTAGCAGTTTGAAAATATGCAAATGCAAATAGATAAATAGGTATCACTGGGTAGGTTACAGCATTTCATGCACCTCAGTGTATAGTCATGCTGGTCACATGACCACAGAAGCCTCTTTGGAAAATATGGAAGTGAGTACCCCTCCCCCCAGAGTCAGTCATGACTGGACAGAGGAAACTTTTACCTTTTTGAAAGTCAAGGAACCTGAGAGGAGGCAGATGCGATCAGCTCAGCATCTAATGTCTCTTTATGCTGGTATAAGCATAGCACCTCCCTTTTTTGACTCAGAGAACTCTTTACCAGTGCCATTCTGGATAGCAGAAATTGGGAAGCCTCTGCCACCGTGCATACCATCTGTAGGATGGGGGAAGGGCTTTTCAGTGAGAAATAAAGAGACTTTCCTCCTTTTCTGGGTAGCTTTTGCTACTTTCTTGATTATCTATAAACACGACATCTGATCCTCATGATCCTAATTTACCTAGCACCGGCACTGCTTTACAAATCATTTGAAGTTGTGGAAGACTATACAGTGAAGCAGAAAAAACTCCTGCTTTACTGGGCAGCCTTCACCACCCTGTGGATCAGCTTTACTAGGTAGCCCTCCATCTCTTTACAGATAAACGTCTGTTTATCTGAAAAGAGATGGAGGGCTACCTAGTAAAGCAGCAGCAATCTCCTGTTTACTAGGCAAGCTCCACCTTTACTAGGCAAGACCAGTACCTGCTTTTAACAGATGGGTTTTAATGGATCCACAGATTCCAGGCATCTGTCAGAATTCTCCACCAATCACATCAGTGTTGTGTTTGGCAGATGGTTTATTACCAGAAGCAACATGGAAAAAGGAGCCAGGTAGCAACACTAAAGGGTTTAACCTAGAATTTGGTTCAACAGCTTTTGTGCATGCTGTACCAGCATTCCTCCTTCTGGCAGTGAGGCAAAACAGAAGCTTTAGAAGCAGAACACAGACTAGTTGAGGACAATCAATTAATGTTATTATAGTTTTCTGATTTCAGCTCTTTAACTCAGCAGTGAGGAAAGCCCATGTTTTGTGTCTTCTACATGAGGGTTATGATTTTCAGCCTAATAATAGCCAAAGAAAAGCAACCCTCATCAGTGCTGATCACAAGAACTTATCAATATAGTTGAATGTGTGTATTATACATCCATATGCACATATACACATATATAAGCCCTGAATTCACTATAAGTCAACATCTTTATGATTTGGATATAATAAGCAGCTCATAGAAATCTGTCAGATGACAGGAAAACAATCCAAAAAAGATTTTAAAAATGTTTTCAGTTCTGCTAACAGCAAGGCCAGCAAACTGGCTTTAAAAGCTCTTTAAGATATTCATTTCTAGTAAGAATAGAAATTGATTACAGATTTTGCATTTGTCTAGGATTTCTATTTTTTCCTCAATTTTCCTTTATTTACTGAGAATCAGGCATGTTCATTCTTCAGTTCCCTGATCTTTTTTTTAATACCAAAACTGTTGTGTATCCAGATCAATGTCAGTACATCTCATGAAGTTGCTTTCTCATTGTGATTGTCATTTTATTGCAACATTAATGACAAAAGGACAGCTAGGAAATGCTATTGCAACATCATATGTACGTTGGCATTAAGCCGGTATATAACAGCACACAGGTAAGCACAAAGATCTACTTCTTTGCAACTAGAGGACTGGACATCTTCTGCACTCAGAATGGGCCGAGCAATTATCTGGACTGGTAATGTTATATTCAGTGTTTGAATGTTAAATGTTGATGCTGTGTTGTTTACTAAATTTCATTCTTCACTTATTTATGCTTCTATGCAACTATGAAGTATATTTTTTCTATATAAAATTCATAGAAAGATACATTAATTTACTCTAAATAGATATTTCTATTACAAAGGCCAAATTTTAATAGGTTTTTGCTTTCAAATCTGTTTCTAACAATGGAATAGTGGAAAAAGTATAGTGGCAAGATGAACAGGTAACACAACTTCGGTTTCTCAGTATCTTTAACAGGGAACTAAAGTAGAACTCTACAAATGGCCTTTTCAAAATCTTTCCCTTATTTATGATGGAACTTGTAGGGTTGTTTCAATGCAATTTTCAAGGAGAAAAATTCTCCAATATTTCCGGGCTGGGTTTCACTAGTAGCAATGAAAGTAGTATAGCTTGTCTGATTTGTTCTAGTAAGGTGACCAACTTTTTTACAATGAAAAGGAGGACACAAATAAATTGAAGAAAAAAATATCGTAAATAAAAGAAACATTTTATTCATTGCAACAATAATACAGACAACTTGCATGTGCAAAGTTTGCCAGCCGGGTATTTTGGTGCGCTCAGCAGCAATTCCTATTGGCTTTCGAAAGCCCATAGCGGGAGTAGCATAGCTCATGTAAAAGTTGAAAAAAAAACATCAAAAAAAGGTGCCGGAACACCGTTCTGAGCGTTCTATGAGGGGGAAAAAAAAGCCCTACAGATTAGTCTTCAAATATCGAAAAGGAGGACATGTAGGAGGACACTTTTTGAGGGAGGACAGAACTTACAAAAGGAGGACTGTCCTCCCTAAAGGAGGATGGTTGGTCACCTTAGTTCTAGGCCCAACGCTGTCTTGCAAGCTTCTAATGGTGAAGCATCCAAGGATCCATAGACTATAAAAGTATGGGCACAAAACTATTTGTGCTACTTCTTCACTTTCCTGATGCAGGAGCCATAGGATCTTTGGTACAATCAGTGCACTTTGGCAGGTCTATACATCAATATGACAAATTGTAAGGAAACGAGGAAAGGAATAGAAGAGAATAAAGACATGAAGAAATAGCAGTCAGTTGACAGTTTATTTTGCCAACAGCAACTTAGCTCAGGTGGAAAGGAATCTGGGAAAAAGCATTCAAAGACATTCTGCCTTAATTAGCTCACTATAAAGAAGGCTGAGAAATTCCTGTAATAGTTTTCAGAATTCTGTATTTATCCCAGACTCACATTCAAGGAAAATCTATGTAGTTCTTGCTTCTTTGATCTTGTTCGGCTCTATCCAGATAGATAATCAGATCCTCATTCAGGTTTGCATGGATGGCATCAAGGAATTTAGGTTTTCAGTAGCTGTGATGGAGATTGGTTACTGCCATTATTCTATGTGGGAGATATATATATTTAAAGTTTCAATTAAAAAGATAAACACTAACGCAAACTAAAAAAGAATAAATAGAAAAATAAAAATTAGTAATGAAAAAAGAAGAATATAAAGGAATGTCTTCTCCCTTCATCCCAATATGATGGGATGTATAAACAATTATAAAGTATAAATAAATATATATTTTAGTAACTTATTACCTTCTCTTAAAATGCCACTAATGATCTCTTTTTCCCATATCTCATCTCTTATCTATAAACAAATCCTTAAAGCCTTGTTAAATATTGATCACCAACAGTCAATTAAGGTTTACTAGCTGTAACAACATATCTATTTTAACCTTGATCAAACAAACCAACTTTATATTCCTTCCAGTAACAATCTTAATCTTTAGTCCTTTCAAAGAATATCTTAGAACTTGATTTCATATTATTTTTTTCTCTGTACCTTCCAACAAACTTCTTTAACAAGTTTTTTGTAAATTCAGCATAGGAAAATTATCCAGACCACTCTCTTAATTTGTTATTTATATATACTTTTTTAATTATTAAGATATCAGCTAGTTTCTTTCCTATATCCAATCTAGCATTTTTTTTTCTATATAATTCCTGTAGTGGCATAACCTGTCATTTTAAAACCCACTTTCAGATCAGTCTGAATTTTGCTAGTTAAAACTTGTTTCTCTTTTATAACATTTCAAAGACAATTTATCTATAGAGGCAGACACTCTTAAAATTAATTTCTGGATCCATAGTTCAAAAATATCCTTCCAAATGTCCAGTGTTAATTTTTTTTACTTTGTTTTACATTAGTAAGTCAAATTTTTGTGTTCTGTAATTGCAATCTTTACTTCCTTTTGATTCCCTTTAGTGTCCAACCTTCAAAGTCTAACCTTATCATTTTTTAAAAAAGAGAATTCTTTAAAGAATCACCTTGAACTGCAAGATGAGCAGCAAATAAATTAATAATTCAAAAATGAAACCATTTTCCATGGGAAAGATTCTTATAATTAATTTTAAAATATTATTTCAAATCTTTTTAGACACTTAGTCTGTTTATAACTTTCCAAAATCCAAATTCTGATCACCCTTTTGTTGTGTATTCCAAAATGTATTTTTTAAACATTTTTAAACTTGTATTTAAAACATTTTGCTAAGGATTGAAAGAAACTCACATAGTACTGTAAACCTTATCAACTGAAATGTTCCTAATAGCTAAAAAGCAGTTAACAAGCAATTTCTGAAACTGATTAGAAAAGGAAGTATGTAAATCCATTGATCTTTTGAAGGCACTGACAACACCTTCAGTAAGATGCTTATTCCCTCATCTCCCAGAGTAGTAAACCTTCTGGAGACTGCTGTCTTGAGGTCTCATCACAAGAAGCAACTACCAGGAGCACTTGTGAATGATCTCAAGTCCTCTCCTTGTCCAGAGAGAGACTGCAAAGAGCTAGTCTACTTGGTGGGCTCTTCATTTTGTTGTGGTCATCTAAATGTGGAGATATTTTCAGTTCACCACTTCTTCCCAGAAATCCCTTTATATGGGAGATTCTGGATAAGCAAAATAGATCAGAGGATCAGAACTGGCATGCAGAGGTTACGAATGTACCCTTCTGAAAGTAACCCACCCACTCTGCATCCAATTCTTATGTTTTTCTTGACATACTCAACTCACACTTCCAATAATTTCTCTCCTGATATATTCAACTCTCACTTGCTATGCAAGTAGAAGCATTTTGTATACACAGCCATTTTCATTTCTTTCAAAAAACATTCCATATAAGAGACCACACATTACCTACTGCAGTAATTGAACTAGCAGCTGCACATTTTAAAATGAATCCATTCATTTCCCTATCTTTAGTAAAGATTTCAGTGTGACACACCAATTCATTTACTTGCTCTAAATTTTTGACATGAATAGATTGCAAAAGTTAATTGATTTTTCCTGTGAACTTGGGTTATCAGTACATTTCATTTCAGATTCTTATGCCTCATTGTCTTAAACTAGTTATCTGACATGTGCCACAAATCATGCAGGTTTGCAATCACAGAATTGTCTGCATATAAAAGACGTACATTTCCATCCCAGGCTAATGCAGTTCTAACAGTCCTCCAATGATTCCTCAGACATAAATATATTAAAGAACCCAAAAGACATCATACAGCCTTGTCTTACAACATTTTTCATTGTTGAAGCATTTACTAAGCATTCCATTTACTTTCTTACATGCTTTACTTCTATATATTCTACACTTGTTGCATTCGGCAACCAACCAGCCTTCAACTTCATTTTCATAGGAAAAGTTCTATAATTCACACCTATATGCATTCACTGTATTAATAATGCATGTAAAGATTCCGGTTTGCTTTCATACATTTCTCAGCTGAAGAGGAAAAATCTAATATGTACACCCCCTACTTGGCACAAAAGGACACTGCACTTCACAGTTTTACTTACTGATGCTTGATGTACTCTTTCTGTTAGAATTCTACCTTCCTACACACATTTAACAAACCAATACTTCCTATGGGGTTTACATTTGTTCTCATTACTTTTCATAGTATGAAAAGTGATCTCTAGCTTCATTATTCATGCTCTCTAACTTCATTATTTGTGTGTTTGTGTGTGTGTGTGTGTGAGAGAGAGAGAGAGAGAGAGAGAGAGAAAGAGAGGAGGGAGGGAGGGAGGGAGAGAGAGAGAGAGAGAAAGAGAGAGAGAGAGAGAGAGAGAGAGAGAGAGAGAACTAAATTACCAGCTTTACTCATACGTGTGTCATATATACCACTCACTGCTAATGTAAGTTTAGTTCAGTTTTGACACATCTTGGCCAGGATGCCACAATTTTCATCAAACGTTACCCACACTATTCTTAAAGAAATAAGCTCTTTAATCTACAGGCTACCTTGCAGAGCCAACATATAGTTGCCTGTACCCCATCAAAGGAGATAAAAGGAGTTTTCTGGCACATTCAAAGTGAAATATAAAAAAGCAATGATAGCAAATATTGATCATATTATGCACCATAATCTTAAATGCAAAGAGGCTGTATTACTTAGCTCATTTGTCTTCTATTTTCCTTTTATTCTAGGTTTAGCTGTCTTGCTGTTTCTTCACTGCAGTAAGTAATCATATAGTACCATCTTATTTCCTAATGAATCATAAGAAAACAGGAAAAATTAAGGCTTGATTTATTGGGCTCTAATAAAATATTCCATAAAGAAATCAACAATGGAAAGTGCATGAAGGCTGGTGATATCTTTCATGGGCCCAAGCAGCATGAGAAGTTAGATTTAGACCAGTGGTTCTCAACCTGTGGGTCGGGACCCCATTTGGGGTCGAACGACCATTTCACGGGGGTCACCAAACAACGCAGTCTGCCATTTTTCCCCCCTTTTCCTTAGCTGTGCTACTCCCTTTTATTCTATTGGCTTTTGAAAGCCAATAGAATAGACTCTCTTGAATAAAGTCTAATTCTATTGGCTTTCAAAAGCCAATAGGAATTGTCCAGGCTGTCTCTGCCCTACTAAGCCCACCAAAAGTTCCATTCTGCAAACGGTGCTGCACCAGTTGAGTAGTCCTCGACTTACGACTGGTTGAGTAGTCCTCGACTTACGACCGGTTGGGGGGTCGCGGCATTAAAAAGGTTGAGAACCACTGATTTAGACATTCACCAACCATTGCAGCAATATACAGTAAGCAGGACAACAAGTGACAAGTAATTGTTTATGCCAGATAATCACTTTTGTGAGATGGGTTGTGACATAAATTTGATAAGTAAAAATATTAAATAAATGTGACACACTATTCCCTCAAATCTAGTAGCAGGTGTGACAAGAAGAAAGGTAGATAAATGGAGAACCCAATAGAAGCTGTTTCTGGAATCAGAAAGATAATAATAAACAACAGAAAAGAACACATTCTGATGGGTAGAAAAAATATTCTGAACAAAGAACTTTGCGTCATTCAACTTCATTAGAAAGTGATTTACAGTATTAAAAGTTCTGCTATTTGTGTCATTTATGCTTCTCCATGTTAGCATTCCTCATGGTAGCCAATCTTGATATTGTAGAAAGTCAGCATACACCCACCCTCGTAGAGAATTAAATATTTGGTGGATATTAAACAAAGGCAGAATATTATATTTCCCCAAAGAAATGGGAAAACTCTTAGGCAGAGAGAGCCCCCAGTCTCCCTTTCTTAAGGCAGAAATGCAGATTTGGCAATCCTTTCAGAAAGGCTGAGGCAAACCACTCATAAGCAAAATGCCTTCAGCTCCACAGTGATAGGATTAAGAATTTACATACCCCACCCAAAAACTAAAAGCAGGACATGACCTTTAGGATGTAATAGGATTAATCAAATATATACCATCTTCAGATTAGCAAAAGACATAAAAGCCCACCTCATTGCACAACCTCCTGGAGCAAAGAATGTATAAAATCCTACCTATCCCAACCCCATATGGCCAGCTGTCCCAGAACCACATGCTACTGGTGGTTCTGCTCATCATTAAACGTTCTTTCCAAACAGCCAGCATCCATTTTTATTTCCAGCATCTTAGCCTCCATTTTATTTTCAGCAGCCTCTATTTTAATTACTCCCAGCTTAGACTGGATCTGATTATTTTTCTTTCAACAATATATTTTATAGACATTCCTAAATACTCATATTTTCATTATCCAGGTCTTTTTATGAATGTTATATATGCATGCATGTGTGCATTTTAATCAATGCTTTGGACAAATAATCTTAAAATATGTAAATGCTTTATACTGCTTTATGATGTTATACTGTTATTTAATAATATTGTTATTCAATCAATACAACCAAAAAAATGTATGCAAGAAGTGTTAAAAGTAAGTAATAGAAAAAGTAAATAGGACTCTGATGATGCTATACCCAATGCCAGTGAATGATTCCCCCATGTTTCTGTGTTGTCTTTTTTATTCAAATTGGTCTAAAAACTTAACTATGCCTTTTTAAAGAAGTAGTCACAATGAAATAGATGACGATTTTATTCTTCCCCTTCCAGTGGACACCAGAAAGGAACTCCAGGAGAGTGGCCATATTCTGTTTTATTCCCATTACTATTTACTATGTTTAGAACCTTATACCATGAGCCGAGGTGGCGTAGCAGTTAGAGTGCAGTACTGCAGGCCACTTTAGCTGACTGTTCAGCGGGTCAGCGGTTCAAATCTCACCTGCTCAAGGTTGACTCAGCCTTCCATCCTTCCGAGATAGGTAAAATGAGGACCCAGATTGTTGGGGGCAATGTAAATATACATATACATTGCTTACTGGTGTACACCGCTTAGAGAGTGCTTGCACTTAAAGCGGTATATAAGTCTCATAAATAAATAAATAAATACAATTTTGAGTACTATTTTCAAATTATCATTTTATAATTTTACAGTTTAAATAACAGATAGTGAGAAATAGATTCATTTATATCCATTTTGCTAATTATCCCTTAAGTAACTTACAATACTAGACACTACTGCATTAAAATTTAAGTAGTTTAATAATTTGCAAAATAGTTTTAGTAAGCTAGCAAATTAGCTCTGTTTATTTTAGGGAGGCTGGTACCTTTAATGTTGTATTATATTTATTTTTATCCTGTTTTAAATGTGAATTTAATTTTGGTCACTGATCATGATAATAAAGATACAAAACTAACATTTCTTAATTTGATTTCTTCCAGATAGGTTGGATTATTTTTCTTACAACTGACCATGATGGTTGGGATTTTAGGGAACTGCAATTCAGTATATCTGGATTTTGCTAGTTTGGGAGTAAGTCATTAAACAGATAAACCAATAGAAATATCTTATTTTCTTGGGAGAAGTGACTAACTGAACAGACCAAGATGTCTTTCATATACAATCTCATTTCCACAGGTTCTGCTTTCAAACTGGTTTGCTATTTCACCAACTAGGCTCAGTATAGGCAAGATAGAGGGAAATTCTTGCCTAAAGACATTGATCCCAAACTGTGCACTCATCTCATTTACGCATTTGCGGGAATGAAAGACCATAAGATCACGATGGCAGAGTGGAATGATGAACAGCTCTACAAGGATTTCAATAACCTCAAAAAAATGTATGGAGCAAGTGGGGAGGGTGGGTGTAAGGGGTCTTTCCAGAAATTCCTGGAACTGGGATTTTGCATTATATGATAGTAGAAGGAAGTATATAAAAATTTTACACAGGGAACTTTATGGAAGCTGAAGCAGAAATGTAATCAAGGCAATCACTTGACATAATGTAGTAGTACCCATATATAATCATATTTTTTTAAAAAAAATCACTAGTAAAGTAGATTAGTAAGTATAAGGAACAGTGCAATTGTAGGCAACGTGCTTGCTCAAAACGGTTACAATCCCCTGAAAGTTTTCAGTAAAGAATGCAGTTTTGTCCTTATTCTCTTCCAACCCCAAGGACTACACTAGAAAACAAAAGTTTTTTTAATTCCTTTTGTATAATAAAGTGATGCAGCTTGGAAAAACTGCAAAAAGGTTTATTTTGCCTACATTGTAAAGCATCAACCTGGATCAGGCCCAATGAATTTTTCTAAGCATGAAAAACACATAAAATATGCAAGATAAACTAGTTAAGAAAAGAAACTGAATTCTACTAACCAACTTTTTTTTTCTCATTTAGGAATCCAGGATTGAATACACTTTTAGCTATCGGTGGATGGACATTTGGTAGTACAAAGTAAGAACCTCAGAGATATCTATGGAGGGGACTGCATTCATTATGTTATGATAAACAATTCTAGGTGGCAACTGCCAAAACATAGGACTAATTCTTGGGATGCTCTTTCTGTGGCGCTCTTTGAGGGTCCTACTTTGCAATTATTTTTATTGTTGTACATTGGTTTGTGATTATTTCCTATAATTCTGCTAATAGTAACAATGACTGCACAAGATGAAAAATATGAAACTGTAATAAAAAAAGTTAGCAAATGTGCATAAAACTGGCTACTGTACATACGTAATCATGTAGTAATATAATATTCATGTTTCAAAACCTGTTTAAAACAGCAAATATTATTTGGAACTAAAATTGAAAAAAAATAGAAGGAAGATTTGATTGGAAATACATTATTTGGGACTAAGTATCTTTTCAAGTCAAAAAAGATAGAACTTTAAAAAAAAGATATTAACTATGTCTTCCCCCTCTGTAAACTAACATAAAAAGTTCATTTCTATGGAAAGTGTACGCCATATTCTGTAGGATGGGTACTGATACTGAATGGGAACACATATGATATATGTACATGACAAAATCAATTGGTATCCTGTTTGTTTGATGTGCTCATAAGCAACTTCTTTGCTAGATTCTCTGCAATGATAGCTACTGCTCCCAGTCGCCAGATGTTTATTTCTTCTGTGGTTTCATTCATCCGAAAACATGGCTTTGATGGCTTAGATCTAGACTGGGAATATCCTGGTGCCAGAGGCAGCCCTGCAGAGGATAAACAACGTTTCACCTTCTTAGTTCAGGTACTGCAAAATTTTAAGTTGATGAAAAAATGCAAACAGCAAATAAAAAGTTTCTTGCTGCAATGTTATTTTATACTAGCGAATTCTATGTATGGTAGTGTTAGTGAATCAAAACATCAGGGAATATTCCAAAAGTTGTATAGAATGACTGCTGTTTAATAATTACTGTATTACTAGAACCAAGTCTTAACAGACTTGCATACGCAATCAGTTACTAGATTCCAAAATGTAATATAGGGAAACCTTTTTTTTATCTAAAGCTAAGACCCCACAATGGGATGATACACATCAAATGCTCAAATGTAAATCTGTTAATAAACACAGCAAGTAAGCAATATGGATTTTTTCCCCCTTCTGTTCAATTGTGTGTGATTCTTGGAGATTTCTTGGACTTCTTGTAGTTTTCTTTGCAAAGGTTTTGCCTTTACAAAAGGCAAAATGGTTTGCCTTTGTCTCCTTCCAAGGTCTAAGAAAGAGAATCATTAGTCCAAGCTGGCTTTGTGTCTAAAATAAGACTAAAACTCTACATCTCCTGGTTTCTAGCCTATGCCTTAACCATTATATCAAACTGGCTCTCAAGCGATATGTAATAGATACCTAAAAACCTCTTTAATAAAAATAGAACTCAAACAAGAAGTATCCTGGATTTGCAGTTACTTTGGACACAAAAGTGACAGAATTGATATCACTATCCACTCATTCAATCACCTGCTTCTTTTTGAATAACCTACATTTTTAATTTATATTTTATTTTATTTTATTTTTTAAAAATGATGGGTAAAACAAATGCTGTTATCTGCTTATCTTAGGAAATGATGAAAGAATTTACAGCAGAAGCTCAGAAAACAGGAAAGAAAAGACTCTTGCTTAGTGCTGCCGTTGCTGCTGGGAAGCAGACTATTGACAATGCTTATGAAGTAGACAAGATCTCAGAGTGAGTATATATGCTAGAAAAAGTATTAACTAAAATGGCAAGCATGCTCACGTTTAAATTAATTTGATCTGTTGGCTCCAACATTGTAAGTTAACAAATTCTTATTCCTTAGTTGCAAAATGTCTTACTTTTTGGAGTCATTCAAATTACAGGTAGTCCTACAGTTCGTTTAGTGACCATTCAAAGTTACAACAGCACTGGAAAATGTGACTTATGATCATTTTTCATAGTTATGACTTTTGTGGCACCCAATGATCATGTGAACAAAATTCAGATGCTCAGCAACTGGTTCATATTTATGACCTTTGCTGTGCCCCGGGGTCATGTGATCACCTTTTCCGGCCTTCTGACAAGCAAAGTCAATGGGGAAGCCCACCTAACAACTGTGTTACTAAACTTATCAACTGCAGTGATTCACTTAACAACTATGGCAAAAAAAGTTGTAAAATGGGACAAAAGTCACTTAACAAATGCCTCACTTAACAACAAAAATGTTTGGGCTCAATTGTGGTCGTACGTTGAGATCTACCTGTATGATAATAAAGATGTAAATTTTAATATAATGTAAGTATATTATATTTATATAATATAAATGTTCTTACTTTCCTCATAGATCTCTGGACTTTATCAACCTCATGACATATGATTTTCATGGAGCCTCAGATGGAGTCACAGGACATGTCAGCCCCCTATTCCCTGATACTGTATGTGATAAACACTTTTTTATCCCATAGAGAATCTTTACATCTAGAGTAAAGTAATTACTCTATTTAACACTTGTTACATTCAGAACACAGTCTAACACAGAGAGATTGAGAATCAGCATGCTGGTTTAAAATATTTTATTCAACACTTTCCCTTTTAATATATTCATGTTGTGCACCTGAAAAATTACAATAGTTCTCTAAACAGTGACTCTCAACAATTACTAGCTCCTTAAAACTGCTAGTAAAAAGATCTGTGAGACCTGCTTTTCTTAATAATTATCATTGTATTTCTTTTCATTTGTATACATGAGCCCAAAATATTGAATGTTGTTCATTAATCATATCTGTTAGAATTAAAAAATATCTAGATTATTCTGTAGGCAATAAAGGAACATACACTATTACTTACAAAAACATTATTTTTGTAAAAAGAAAAATTCTAACTATGTAATATCAGATAGGAAAACACAAGTGAACACTGGGCGTTATCTAACAAAATGAAATTCAATGATGAAAAAAGTAAGGTTCTACATTTAGGCAAGAAAAAACAAATGTATAGTATAGGGAGTACCTTGCTCAATAGTAGTAACTGTGAGAGGGATCTCGGAATCCTAGTGGACAATATGAGCCAGCAGTGTGCTGCAGCTGCCAAAAAAGCCAACACAGTGCTGGGCTGCATTAACAGAGGGATAGAATCAAGATCACGTGAAGTATTAATACCACTTTACAATGCCTTGGTAAGACCACATTTGGAATATTGCATCCAGTTTTGGTCACCACGATGTAAAAAAGATGCTGAGACTCTAGAAAGAGTACAGAGAAGAGCAACAAAGATGATTAGGGGACTGGAAGCTAAAACATATAAGTAACGGTTGCTGGAATTGGGTATGTCTAGTTTAACAAAAAGAAGGATGAGGGGGGACATGATAGCAGTGTTCTAATATCTCAAGGGTTGCCACAAAGAAAAGGGAGTCAAGCTATTCTCCAAGGCGCCTGAAGGCAGGACAAGAAGCAACAGATGGAAACTGATCAAGGAGAGAAGCAACCTAGAACTAAGGAGAAACTTCCTGACAGTTAGAACAATTAACCAATGGAACAACCTGCCTGCAGAAGCAGTGAATGCTCCAACACTGGAAGTTTTTAAGAAGAGATTGGACAGCCATTTGTCCGAAATGGTATAGTGTTTCCTGCCTGAGCAGGGGGTTGGACTCGATGACCTCCAACTTTATTATTATTATTATTACTATTATTATTATTATTATTAAGTTTCAAAGTAATATAAAAGTTTTTTTAATCTTATGCCACCTTAGAAAATTATCTATCTGTTAAACTATTTGTTCTTTGCCTATACAACATCCAGTGAAAATATGGATGAAATATAATTTTGAAATACCTTTATTATTTTTCTAGTATCTATATCTTAAGCATTTGTAGATGGAGATAGGATATTACAGTGTCAATGTGTTAACCTTTTTCCTACAATTCTGTTTGTTTCCTGCCTATTCCAGATACTTCATGAGTATAATAGTGAATGACATCCAAAAAGTTTGAGTGACAATAGAGTTTTACTCATTAGTTTCTTTCTATAATCTTCCTTGCATTCCTTACAAAACTGCTGCATAAATTCATAAGATCCTCTAATCAATTCAACATGCTATTGGTAAAATTCCAAATATTTCTGAACTACAGTTTCTTCACAATTGGCAATACTGATTGATACAACTTCTGCAGCTCAAAACGTGGAAAGCGAGGGAGTTCCTCACCCATCTGAAAGGAATAAGCTTTTCCTCAGTATGAAATGAAAGGCTATTTGTTGGGAAGAAAAAATGCCAGTCTAAATGTCTTAAAATAGAACCATTTTCCTTGGTATATGTGACAGTATTTTCACCGATATATTTATGTTAGGACTGCAGCATAATTGAATAATAAAAAGGTTTAGCCGCAAAACCAGACAAAATGGATTGAAGTCTTGCTTATTCATTTATTGCACCAAAGGACAATGCTGTGAAGTACTGGAAGAGCAAGGGAGCACCACCTAAAAAGATTGTTCTGGGAATTCCCGCCTATGGACGAACCTTCACCCTTTCTACTTCACAGAATGGAGTGAAGGCACCAACTTCAGGGCCTGGCATAGCTGGTATTTACACAAAAGAGAGAGGATTTTTGGCTTATTATGAGGTAAGGAAAAGATATATAGTTATGCCCCCTTCACTTCTCCAAACAAGAATAAATTCCAAGAAGCCCAGCACTTGCTCATGTTTGATCCCATTTGGTAGATACTGCAGAGATGTATTGATATTTTTAAATCATACATTTATAAGTAGACAGGTTGGTAGAGTTGAAATGATTTAAAATATCAGTATACTCACTGCTTCCAGAACAGATCTCTAGAATGAAGCATCTTGGTATTCAGTCCTAGATTACAACTTCCTTATTGTGGGGATGCGAGGATATTGCCTTCTTCTCTTACTATTCTGTTTTCTATTGCAAACCTAATCTTAATAGATACAAGGGATGAAAACAGGGAGTCATTTGTTGTTCCTTGTCTCCTACAATTTGTCTGAAAACTTTCTAATGAAAACTTTGGCCAAGTACTAAAGATGCATTCTTGGAATATCCTGAGTTATTCATGTTTCTTTGCCAAGACAAAATACATCTGTCTCAAGTCAAGTTATACTCTGTTTCAGATCTGTGACTTTAAAAATGGTGCTACCACAAAAGTGATTGAAGATCAGAAGGTTCCATATTCCTTCAAAGGAAACCAATGGGTAGGATACGATGATATCAGCAGCATTACTAATAAGGTAAGGATTATATATTTTAATTTAAATGCTTATGTATTCTTCTAGCAACCTTTCCGTTCATAAATCACAAGATGGTAACAACATAGACTGGTTAAGGGTTCTTTATATGTGAAAGGCATTTTTGTAGAAATTACAATGGTCCTGGTTTTCACTAAGCATATATCAGTGGAAACCTATGGTTAATCATATTTTGCTCAGACATATAACCTTGTAACCATGCAGGCTGGCTTGAGACATTGTGGTGCTGTAGGCAAAGTCATATTCTGACACCCCATGTAAAGAGGCACCCTCTTGCTTCTTTTTTCCTTCTAGGTTTTGAGTTTCACATGTACAATTTCCAGCCTGGATAATTTTTCCCCTTTTGGGGGGAGGGGGGACATCTTCACTATATTTACCCTGAATCGCAGTAAATAATTTTAAATACATCAAAATCCATTGTAGCCATAGGGCAACCATTCTGTGAAATTATATTTAACCCTCAAGTGAGTGCACTAGTACATGAATATAACTTGCTCAGTCAGTATCTTCCTATCCAACTTTGGTCTTGCATCATGAATATTAGCTTCCTGGAGTCTATAGCTATAGTAATAATTTCTTTTTCGTGCCTTGCAATGTCTGGCTAGTGTGCTATTCATTACTGCTTGACCAACTTTATGGGTGTTTTCAAAAAGGGCAGAAAGAAAAAGTTTTAAAGCACCAAGGAAGGATTACCAGATTTTATACTAATATTTCACCAGTCTTTTCAATTTTTGCACCCCCTAAAATTTGGTGCCCTAGAGAAGTTCCTATTGCCAAGCCTAGCACCATCTCCAAACCATGGCAAATCATGGCAGCTGAAACTGTTGAGCATTGTGATTTCTATTTGAGTTCAAGCCTTTGAATTCCTATTTTCTGTTTCATTTAGGTCCAGTATTTGAAAAAACAAAACCTGGGAGGTGGTATGGTGTGGGCCTTAGACCTAGATGACTTCAGTGGCTCCTTTTGCAAAGAAGGAAGATACCCACTTATTCACACTCTGAAAAAGCAGATGAGTTCCACAAATTAATTGGGTAATATTTAGGGTTTTTTTCCTTAAAGTCATATTTTAACGGAACCAAGCATTTACCCAACATCCTCATTCTACTGGTATTTCCCATTATATAGTTTATATGAAAAGTTTCAACATTTCTGTAAAAGGGAAAGCATTTTCTTTACCATAATGCTCAAGATCTTATATCACTTTTTTCCAATACAAACATCTATAGCCATCTGAAATAGTAAAACTTACTAGTAAATATTTACTATCTTGCCCTCCAATAGGTCAACTATGTATGGTTTAAAAAAAAGCTTTACTGAATGACTCTAAAGTCTAGTATTAGAAAAAAATCTTTCGGTTACATTGTCAACATCACAGACATGTGTTGAGTTTGTAAGATTTTGCTCTCCCCTAGTGAAGGTATTCAGAGGTCAGTTCTAAACAATGTTTATTCAAAAGTGAGACTTCGTTTAATTCACTAAACTTGTGCGGATTGATCATGATAAACCTTAACAAGGCACTTGATCTCATGGAGGCAAGTAACTCCTTGACAAGGAGTCCACAAGGAAACAATCTGCTTTACTTCGCAAAGGGACAGGAGGGGAACTTCTGTTATTTTGGAAAGCGAAGAGGCACAGCCTCCTTATTTCTCTGAGTAGAAGTGGTGTTGGGAGGGGGAAGCATAGAAAAGCTTTTCCCTTTCCACTCAGGATCTTTGTCCCCACTAGGCACCATAAGCACGAAAGGCAACAGTATACAATACACTGGTTGCATGTTCTGTTGAGAGATTATTCATTTTAAGAGCAACAGAGTTTGAAGGGACCTTGGAAGTCTTCCATGCAATATTTGTCAGTGCAGCATGAACAGGCAAGAAAACCTATACTGAATAGAAAAGATTCTAGAGCAAAATTTGATTTTAAAGAATCCTATTTCATTTCAAAGGAATTGCTACCGTAGGAGGAATAATATGATATGTTATGGGTCTACTATGTCCTCCGGTTTTGATTTTCTTTTTAGATAAATATAGCATACTTTGGGAGAACATAAATATTTCTAAAATGTCACTTTAACCCTACTATTATTTTGTAAAAGATTTTACTGTTATTTCCCCCTTTTTGCTCCCTTTGTAGTAAATCAGATTTAACCACATGGAATAGTCATTGAGAACCAATGAACTGAACCAGACTCATAGAAACATTTCTTGAATAGGCAGATGATGGCGTATTGCCAGGCCTACATTTTTAAATGCCCCACTGAATTAGAGTTTGCAGAATATTCTTGTCCTTTCAACAAGACAGATATAAACTAAGATTTGCAGCCCCAAATCCATGGAACATTTAGCCACGCCCCCCCTGCAGTCCAGAATGGATTCCACTTAGCTTGCTTTTACAGGTAAAGCCAAGATGCATCTTTTTGAATTTTGAAATTCAGCTGTTGATAAATATACTTTGTTATTAATACTACTACTACTACTACTAATAATAATAATAATAATAATAATAATAATAATAATAATAATAGTTGTTGTTATGACCACCCCTCCAACAGAGGAGCGATTGGGCAGAATACACAATTAAACAACAGAATACACAATTAAATGTTTTGAAACCATGACAACAAAACCACCCAAACTAAAAAGGAGCCATAACAATTGAAAACATGAAGACCTGACTCCATACACATAGAGTCAGGTCTTAAGGGTCTTCCAGAACACCATATTTATCGGGGGGGGGGGAAACACTATTGAAGAGGGGCAGCAACAAAGAAAGTATTTCATAGGCTGTAAGCTACCCAGAGGTTTAGAGGAGGGCTAGAAATATAGTTGAGAGAGACTGTGTAGCTTGAAATGTTGCTAAACTAATGTGGTGGTTTTTTTGGCAGTTTTTCTCTTTCAGGTTCAGCAACATTCCTGAAGATGAAATGTCAGATCTAGGTCCAAGACAAACTGCTTCACCAGCAGCAAACAGCTTTTCACTTTGATAAGGCTAAAGGGAACTACAGCATATTAAATTACGAATTTTATATTAGACTATAAGTAATTGGATCCAACAAGTACCATTTCCATATGCTGGGTCCAGTAAGACTAATGCTTGACAATCCGTATAGATGTTGCAACTATTTTAATTGAAGCACTGGTCCTCACCAATCCCAAAGATAATCACATTCTATAATTAGCAATGTATTGTCTCTAAATTAAACTATCCATTTTTTCCAATCAATACATTTCTCTAACCTTTAATACATGCATCCTTTGATCTTTATTTCAGTGTGTAAACAAGATATTATTACTTCATGATAATATTAATTACTGTTTTATAGTAATAGTCTAAAGTGCACCAGAAATAAACTAATTGCAATCATAGCAGTTATATTTTTCTTTGTATCCTTACAGATTACAGTAGCAGATTACCATATTAAATAATAATGGCCTCTCTCTATTTGAGTCTATCCACTTTGCTGCTGGTCATCCTCTTTTCTTTTCTTCCACCTTTCCCAGCATTATAGACTTCTCTGGAGATCTAGGTCTTTGCATAATGTGTCCAAAGTAGGATAAAGATTCAGCTTGTGCTGAAGATAAATTTGATAGAAAATTAACTATGGCATACATACTATTTTACATGGTGCAGCAAAAAAAAAAAAAAAAACCAAGCATTGTAGCTCTGTCATTTATAGAGTCTGAATACTGTGCTAAGAATAAGCATGCATGGAGCTTCCATGGCTGAACAAAATATTGCTAATGAAATAACCAATTCCAATCACATTATCTGAAAACAACGTGGGATACATAAGAAGTGCATGTACAAAGCAGTCCAGATTCAATTTAAAACATAGAAACAGTGTATATAAACTATGCACCAATCTATTTTTCACTTGGCAGTATATGTGGCCAAGAAATTTCTTTCATTATTTTATTTGATTATTCATGATTATAAAAGACAGAATAATCACTTAGTTTTACATTTATAGCATGACTTGAGTATTAGTTTCTAAAAAAAAAAAAAAAAAGCTACGGGCTGCATTTATCTTTCCTGATGTTGAAATTGAGATTATATCAGCTGTATTTGTGTCATTGGTGAACTCTGCTTCCTTAAAAAAGAGTACCTATGTTTAGAAGTTCCTTCCCTATTCTAGAGTAACTGACTCTTATTTAAGCTGAATTCATCCTGAAATTAGTGACCAAACTTGCATAATTGTCACCCATGAGGATTTGAAACTTGCCTTAATTATGAATGAATAATTTTTTTAAAAAAATGTCTACAGTTTTTATGCCCTGTCAATAAACAATCCATGAGTAGCATTTGATTAATGTTGCTCTGGAATTTACAGGAGTCAAATATATTATTGTATTGAATGAGCGATTTCTGCGATTGTTCTGCCTAAAATTCTCTAAAAGAGAATCAAACTAGGTTTGTAAAAGACTAATTTCACAGCATTAAATTTTTTTAAAAAAAATTACAATAGAAGCTGCCCTGCAAAAAATGAAAGTACCTCATAAAAAGGTTTTAAAATGAAGTAAGGAAATGAAAATTGGATAAATTAATCATATGCTATTATTTCTGCAATTAATGTATTATTTAACACATATACACGATGAACAGAGATTTCTAAATTCATAATGTGAGTGAAATCCATTCTCTTCAATGCATTCCCTCCCATGTACACATGTCTGTGCACACACACACACACAAACACATACAAAAGATGTCTCATACAAGAGGTGGTAAATCTTGGCAAAGATAGACAGTAACAATAATAAATGTGAGTTTGTGATTTTCGGCAAATCCTCAGGGGCTACTCCAGATGTACTCAAAACCATATTCTTGATCTTGTTCTAAGATTGGTGCTTTTCCACCTTTTCTTCAAAATTTGAGTTGATCTTCAGTATCTGATTGTATTTAAATGTATTGCAGTTCTTCCTGTTTCCCAGGGTGCTTCCAAACATGGCGCTTCTTGTGCTACACTCAAAAAAGGAATTCTTTCTACCTTCCTTAATGTGCAGGAAAAACTGGTGAGAGAAATTCAGGGAAGGAAGCAGGGCAACAGCTCCAGAAGCCCCTCCCCAACTATATTATAAGGAAGTTGAGATATGGTGGTGAAACTGAAAAACAAAACAAAACCACCAGAAGCCAGAAATAAGGAAATTGTGGGCAAACGGAGAAACAGTCATAAGGAAACACTGTCTTGATCTAAATCAAAAATTGACAACTTCATACTCATAATCCATTCAAGGTTCAGCCACATCTGGGCACTGTCCGCATAGATTTCTTAATATAAATTTAATAAATGAATACATTTTTAAAGGTGTAGATCAGTGTTTCTCAACCTCAGCAACCTGAAGATGTGTGAACATCAATTCCCAGAATTCTGAGACATTTAGGTTACATCGTTCTTTCCTTCTTCTATCTTCTTTCCTTGCTCCCTCCCTCCTTGCCTGCCTTTCAACTATCTCTATTCACTTCTGATATAACTTTCTTCTTTCTCTTAATTTTAGAGACAACCAGCATACTGGATCTATTGTTTTTTATTTCCTGAATCTGTGCTGTTTACCATTTATTCCTTTAATGTCCCAACTCTCAATTTCTTATAACCCAAAGACCTCACCAGATAGGTCTGTACTATTGGCCATTGTGGTTTTGATCAACTGAAGGTTTAGTAGGAAAAAGAAAAAGCAGTCTAGTTATCAGCCATACTCTTAGCCATATGCACACCATATGCTTCATTCACTGTTACTGGTAAACCCATCATATTTGGATCAATATTCCACAATTGCAATCAAGGCCCAGATTTATTTCAAGAATGTTCAGGTTTTTCTATGCAAGCTAGGAGTTCTCATTAACAAGCCATTCTGTTACCTGTATTTTACCAACTAGAAGTGATATAATACACCAAAACAGTTAAGAGGGAAGAAAAAAATTCCATAAAAAGATTGGCTGTGAATAATTTGTTTTGACTTTTATTTATTGTACTTTTTTCCCTTTATTTATCAACAAAAAACAGATTTTGTTTCTGTCCAAGACAAAAAGAGTAACTTTTGCCAGAATAAGTATTATAGCTACCACCTTTGGTAGTCTTAATCTAGTTTGCCAGAATAAGCTTAATAACTAACCCAAAAGACAGATTTTCTACAAGTTATTAAATAGATGGCCTAAAAACATCAAATATTATCTTTTTTCAATAACATGCACTTTTCGTTTGTCCACCTTTACAAATGCAACAGTAATTGTCTTTGCTAAACCTGGCAATCCCCATTTCACTGCAGAGTACAAAAATCCCAGCCATATCATTTTAAGGACATAAAAAGTGATAATTATTAAAAAGGGAAAGCAGAACATATTAAGTAAATTATCTATAGGACAGAGAAATACATATTCTCTATCATGGCAAAAACATCTAATTCTGTATACTGTGTATCTGATTCCACTGCATAGGAATACAGTTGAAAAAGCCATACAAAACCTGTGAGAGCTGGCAGATGATGGAATTTGTTATCATCCAACATACCTGGAGAGCACAAAATTAATGAAAACTGCCACAGAACATTAGTGACATATTGTTTTATTTGTGTAATATTTTATCATAGATACTGGTAATAAAAGAAGTGACATTTCATTTTTAGATCATTTTTTCAAATCATGTAATTTTAAAAAAGGAAAAGAAAAAAGCAACGTATTTTTCTTTAAAAATTATGTAATAGGTGCATCTTAAAAAATCTTCATTCAATGCAATTTTCCTTTGTTAGAAAAGTACTAAGCAGTTAACCATAATTCCAAAATTAGACACTAAAAATAAATATAATTTGACCCTTTTTTACATCAATGTCCTTTAACTAAATAAATCTAGGTCCGTCTTCAAACATATGCTGATCTCACTGCATTATGCTGATGGCTGATTTGCTAGTTTCATCATTACTGGCTATTAATCTGTTGTGATTGTTTTATTGCATTAGTTGTAAGTTGCTTAGCATTTTTAATTAAAGTGGCGTACAATTTTTTAAAACAAATAATTATAAGCCGAGCTGTAAAACAAATACAGGGCTGGACTGGACTGGACTGGTATAGTTTTGTCCAGTTGTTCTGAGACCTGAATCCTCTTTGCACAATCATGTGCTGAAAAAATATCAAACTATCATTAATTGGACCAGGAAAAGTGCTCCCTCACTTTGAAATCCTTATGGAAGTTTTCAAAAGTTGTCCTGCATCTGTAGCCAGCTGTTGATGAAAAGCAGCTAATGAATCCAAGTACGTCAGTATTTCTGTGGATGACTGTCCCATTCCTGACCTACTTTTCCACACGACTATACTTGTTTTTTTCAGTTTCTCTACTTGTGTTGTTTCCACAAGCAAAAGACAGGATGGCAAGATTTGTTCTGCATACAGACATTAAAAGACCAGCCATTGAATCTTTCTCCAACAGCAGTATCCTATACTACACTACACTACACTACACTACACTACATTACACTACACTACACTACACTACACTACACTACACTTAAACACAGTAGATTACTTAAGGAAAGTCAGACTGACTTTCTTCTCCAACTTCTTTCTTCTGCTCCTGAGTTACCAGGCTCTGCTTTCTAACACAAAGTTTTCTGTACAATTTATTCTGCAACATCTAAATAGAGCTCACACACATGCAATACATACAGACCCAGACTTTTGGAATCTACCCATTGAATTAGCTACATAAAAGTTGCTTATTGGTACTGAGGTTTTGTGCCTAGAAGCGAGGCCAATTTGCAAGGTAATGGGATGGCTTTACTTCCCTCTGTGTCAGAGTAGGCACCCATTCATATCTTTGTGGCACACTTACTCATTTGTGGTAGAAGGGATCGAGAGCTGCAGTGAGATGGGGTGTGGTGCAAAGCGAGCAAGGTTTTGACACAAAACTGGTGAACTTAGAGAGGGGGAATATGAATCAATATAAGTGGTCAGATGTTAAAGACTTAATGAAACTCAGAATTAAAGTTGAAACCTAATGTTTTTCGAAGCCATAAAGAAGCATTGAGAGAACAGCCATCAGAGCACAGGGCAAAGTGTTTTCCTCTCTTGATTTTTTTCCTTAAAGCTGTCTAGCTGTCCATAGCTCTGTTTCTTTGCCAGGACTTGTTGCTGAATCTTCAACAACTCCATTCTTCTCACCAGGATAGAGAAGGGGAGGCTTTTCTATCTACAGCTACTGTTATAAGACCTTCCACACAATCATTCAATTCTGATTCCACACGGTTTCAGTCATGTCTTCACTCATGCAGCTCTACACAGATACATGGATATATCAACATATGCATTTTGGAAATAGCACAGGATATAAGGAACCTGGCTAATATCTCCCTACTCCGCGACTGACTAATTATGAATCTTAAAGACTGAACTGGTTTTACAATGCTCAGTATTGTCTGAGCATAATTTAAGGAGTTGGTTTTTAATCTTTAAACCTGATAGGTGATCCTTGACTTATAAGAACAACTGAGCCCAAAATTTCTTTTGCTAAGCAAGTCAGTTGTTAAGTGAGTTTTGCCCCATATTACAACCTTGCCACAGTTGTTAAGTGAATCACTGCAGTTAACATTGTTGTTAAGTGAATCTGGCTTCCTCAAGCCTCTTGCTTGTCAGAAGGCCACAAAAAGTGACCACATAACTCAGGACACTAACCATCATAAATACATGTCAATTGCCAAGTGTCTGAATTTTGTGACCATAGGGATGCTGCAACAATCGTAAGCATGAAAAATAGTCATAAGTCATATTTTCAGTGCCATTGTAACTTCAAACAGTCAATAAATGAATGGTTGTAAGTTGAGGACTACCTGATCTGAGAGACTGTTCATCTTGTTCTGGACTCGTCTGAAAGTGAAGGTCATCAGGAGAAGTCTTATTAAATGTGCCTTCCCTTTTTAAGAGTGATTTGTTGGTCACACAGAAAAGGAGCTTATCTGCATTCTGTGGAATGCACTCCATAGAAAGGAGTCAGGCTTTTCAGTCAAGCCTTTTCACTCCAGTTTAATTGTATCTGTAATTTTTATGAGATTTACTTATGGGATGGAAAATATTTTTTTAAAAAATTATTAAATAAAAAGGGATCACAAATGAGATTTTCATAGATTTGCAGCTGGAAGAGATGTGAAGCGTTAAAACTTGTTCTGCTGTGTTTTTCCATTTAGACAGATGTAAAGAAAAATAAAGGAATCCTGATTCCACAGCAGTGGTTGCAACATAACGGCAATTGAGCAACAATCATTCCAGGAATAGAGAAGCAATTCCTCCTAAAAGACACTACAAGCCTGTTAAGTGACTATAAATTAGAGGAGAGCAACAGTATAGGCATCATTGTAAAGAAGCAACATTTCTGCTGTGGTACAGTTGCACACTGGGAACCAGGATGGCTCAACTGTCACTATGGATTGGTAAGTCTCTGGTCTCACCCTTTAATGTTAAGAATTCATATGCAGAATTTCCATGATTTGTACTGGCAGTTCAGATGACCCTGCAGATATGAGCAAGACATTGATGATGATGATATACTTTAAAGTTGCTGAAAGAAAATTTGTTCTCTGGGTGGAAAAAAATCCCATGAGACTGGCCAGTTTAGGAAGCCTGATATATCTCAATATCTAGTTTAAGGTGATCCAGTTAATTTCAAATGCTTATATTAATTGAAGGATTTCAATTTGACCACAGACAGGCATGAACTAAGTACTGTATTATGATCATTGATTGTTTTAGCTTTGCTAGAATTTAATTTTCCTCTCTTGGCTTTCTGTGTTTTGTATTAGGCATTGCTGCACTGATATTTCTTCAAAATGGTATGTTATATTTCCTGGGGGCGGAGGGGGGGGGGACAGGGAAAGACATTTCTAGTCAATCTAAATTTAAAATGTCTTCACTTGAATGAGAAACTATCATTTTCCCCTTTCAAACACAATGAAGAAAGAAAAAGCAAAACCAGAATATCTTAATGAAACTTTGGCTGCTAAATAGAACAGCTGAACAAATAATTTGAGAACCACTTTAAGAAGGGCTTTGCCTGGACAAGGCTTCATATGAGATACTTCTTGAAAAGCTGGCAAAATAAGACACCCTGATTCTAAAAAGAAAGGGTGGAGCAACACTTCACTCCATTTCATGTCCCTCCACCTACAGAGGACAACAGTTGAGGTAGTCCTCAACTTATGACCACAATTGAACCCCAAATTTATGTTGATAAGCGAGACATTTGCTAAGTGAGTTTTGCCCTAATTTTATGACCTTTCTTGCCAAAGTTGTTAAGTCAATCACTGCAGTTAACATGGTTAGGGATGTAGTGGTTAGCCATTGTAATGGTTAAGTTAATATCATAGCTGTTAAGTAAATCTGTTTTACTTATTGCTTTGCTTGTCAGAAGGCCATGAAAAGTGATCACAGGATCCCAGGACACTGCAACTGTCACAAATGTGAGTTAGTTGCCAATTGTCTGAATTTTGATCACATGACCATGGGAATGCTGCAGTGGTCACAAGAGCACAAAAAGATCATAAGTCACTTTTTAATTGATGTTGTAACTTTGAATTGTCACTAAATGAATTGTTGTAAGTTGAGGACTATCTGCACTGAAGAGCCAGTGTTGTCTCTTCTGGGTCTGCCAAAGGAGGCAACTGGAACAATGTGAAGTAATGCAACAATTATGTCATTTATACTCCCCCCAAAATTGAATAAGTATCACTTTTGCTGCACAATATGTCTCAATGAGACATATTGTACTGCCTGGCATAGGCCAGTCAAATCAGTACCCAGGAATATAGGTAGTCCTTGCTTAACAACCACTGAACAACTGGTACTTATGACTAGATATCATACTTACATTGGACACAGTGTCCCTGCAGTCACATAATTGCAACCTGGGTGCATGATGTCCAGCTCACAATTATGACATTACAGCATAGTGTACATTTTTAAACATTTACCAAAGGGCAGCATGGTTAGGGCCATTTTAATTTCCAAGAGGAGAATATTCCACAGAGCAGGGGCTACATCCAAAAAAGCCATCTTCCAATCCCCCCCAGCCAGGATCTGCAGCATGCCCACTCTGCTAGATCAAACCGGACAGGTAAAGATTCTTGGAAAAAGGCTGTCCTTCAAGTAACCCAGACTCAAGCCATACAGGCCTTTAAAAGCAGCATCTTGAATTGTCCCCAGAAATATACTGGCACCCAAAACATGATAGAATTTCTGTTGCAAAATTGTATGGTGGTGTGATGTTGTGTTTTAGACTGCCTTGCTTAGCAATAGAAATTCCAAACCCAATTATCCTTGTTAAGTGAGTACTGCCTGTATGACCCATCCACCTAACAATTTAAAATCATGAAAATGCAAGTAGATAAATAGTTACCACTTCAGTGGAAAGGTAATAGTGTTCCGTGCGCCTTGGTGTATAGTCATGCTGGCCACATGACCACAAAGTGTCTTTTGATAACACTGACTCCCTCAGCTAAGAAATAGAGATGCACACTGCCCCCTAGAGTTGGAAACAACTGGACAATAACTTTTACCTTTACCTTACCTGTATGACTGTTCATTCCTGTTTACAAATCATAACAAGATTAGTAGGAAAAGGTATTTCACCATTCATCTGTGATGTGCTTGGAATTATGTTAAGGGAGTGTATGATAGTAATGATAGCTCTAGCACAGTGTTTCTCAACCTTGACAATTTTAAGGCACGTGGACTTCAACTCCCAGAATTCCACAGCCAGCAATGCTGGCTGTGGAATTCTGGGAGTTGAAGTCCACGTACCTTAAAATTGTCAAGGTTGAGAAACACTGCTCTAGCACATTCAGTTCAGGGCAAGAGTGCAAACTTGGAAGAAGCAGGATAGTATAAGTAGATCTGACAAGGTCTGCAGTCTTTAGATTGAATATCTCATGCTTTAACAAAAATTATTTTGTTTTCTTTCTCTTTATAACAGTTTCTGCCTTTAACTTGGTTTGTTACTTCACCTCCTGGTCTCAGTACAGGGAAGCCCCAGCAGGCTTTGTCACTGATGACATTGAACCAGATCTTTGTACCCACCTCATTTATGCTTTTGCTAATATATCAGGCAATCAAATCACCCACTACGAATGGAACGATGCTACTACCTATGAAAATCTCAGGGGACTTAAAACTAGGTAGGTACAGATGGGAGGTAATATAATAACCAATGCATCCAAAAATGCCAATAACCATATCATCTGCTAACACTGGAGGGGTGTTCAATTCATCGCATACTTGCTGATGTGAGTCTCTTCTTAAACTTAAGCTGAGAGATTTTAACTCTTTGGTTTAACCACATATCCACATTTCCAATAAAATAACTGCTGCAGGGAGAAGCCATCGGTATCAGGGAAGAGTACTCACGAAAGACAATCCTCCACCTTGATCTTCATGTATCCTCTCTTCACACTGATATTTATAACAAGAAGAAAAAGCTTCCTTCCTGATGCCATAACTGTTTGAAAAGAAACAGGTGTTGTAAGAATTATGATAAAGGAAAAAGATTGATTTCTTCCTTGAATTAGTTCAACTATTTGAGTCTGCCAAGCAGTGGTTCTTTTTCTCCTGTTACACATCTTTCTATAACTTAAAAGTGTGACCATCACACTTTTCAATCTACAAAGCACAATGACTTGAGTTCCCTCAGGAAATCTGCCCTTGGAATTTAATTTAAAAATAGAAGAGGGAATTTAAAAGTTTCATCCAGTACTGGTCACTGGATGGTTTACTGGACAACGAATGACATTTTTCATAGATATATCTTTGATATTCACAGCACAAACTATAAATATTATTGTAATATTGCAATAAATGTTCAGTATTTGTAATGCAATGCTCCATTTTATGCATCTCCTCCTACTTTTCAAATCATTTGGCAACTTCTGCATCAAAAGGCATCTTAGTTTTCACAGGATAATAGAATCAGTAACATTGATAAGGAGGGTTTTTGTAGAAAGAAAGGAAGTTTTCAATGAATAAACTTTTGCAAACAAGAAAGCTTGGGGCACAAATTGTATATCTTATAGAAGCTAAAAAAAATTATAGTGGCTATCTGACTCAAGAAGAATGGAAGGATATAGAGACAAGTTCTACTTAATTCTTCCCTCCTTTACTTTTCAGCTTAATATTTTATTATCAGTAATTGCAAAAATTTAGTGAGATATAATAAGAAATATAAAATGAAATGCAATAGTTCTGCTTTTAAGGAGTGTCTGAATGTCCACCAGAGGGCAGGACAAGAAACAATGGTTGAAAACTGATCAAAGAAAGAAGCAACTTGGAATTAAGGAGAAAGTCCTGACACCATCACTGGAGTTTTTTTTTAAGAAGAAGCTAGATAGTCACTTGTCTAAGATGATATAGGTTTTCCTGCTTGAGCAGAGGGCTGGACTAGAAGACCTCCAAGGTCCCTTCCAGCTCTATTCTATTCTCTATTCTTTTCTTTGAATAATGTTAAAAGTGCATAGGTTGCACTGACGTGTGTGACAGGATGAGCATTTATTTCTTCACACTATTCATACAATTCCTAACTTGCTTCTAGCAGTTAAGTAATTTTAGATCAAAGATAGGCCTTGTGTGCCAGAATCTAGAATTTTGAAAGTAAGTTATGAGTGATTGCACAAAATGACTATCATGATGAACATTTGCCAGAAGGCAACTAGGTTTGTTTGTTTGTTTTTCCATCTCTTCATGCCTACAGGGTTATTCTAATATATGCACCTTTCTTTTGTCATTTTCTTTCTTTTTTTAACACAAATGTGCAGTGCCAAGTAAAGCAATAGATTACAATTACTGCTCTCTTTTCTAACAATGCTGAAAGGGTCTTTGTTGAGTGAAGTAGAAGTATCTGTAACCAATTTTGGTCACCATACTACAAAAAAGATGTTGAGACCTTGGAAAAAGTTCAAAGAAGAGCAACTAAAATGATCAAAGACCTGGAGACTAAAATATATGAAGAACGACTGCTGGACTTGGGTTTGGCTAATCTAAAGAAAAGAAGAAACAGGGGTGACATGATGGCAGTGTTCCAATATCTTAGGGGTTGCCACAAAGAAGAGGACGTCAAATTATTCTCCAAAGCACCAGAGGGCAGGACAAGAAGCAATTATTGGAAACTGACCAAAGAGAGAAGCAACCTGGAATTAAGGAGAAACTTCCTAACAGTGAGGACAATTAACCAGTGGAATAGTCTGCCTCCAGAAATTGTGGGCACTGTCATTGGAGGTTTTTAAAAAGAGACTGGACAGCCACTTGTCTGAAATGGTATAGGTTCTCCTGTTCGAGCAGGAGGCTGGACTAGAAGACCTTCAAGGTCCCTTCCAGCTCTATTCTATTCTATTCTATTCTATTCTATTCTATTCTATTCTATTCTATTCTATTCTATTCTTAAAAATGATGGAAGTATCAGTGCTTTGTATTACAGATGCAATAACTAGGCAATCTAGCAGACAGCTGTCCAAAGGATCATTGGCACTATAGGTCTGCAAATACTTTTTACTTTGAACTTAATAGTTAGAAAGAGGGCCCAAATGAAAATATGGACAATTATATTGAGTATAATTGAGTATTTACATTTATTTTTTCAGGAATCCCAAACTGAAGATTCTTCTGTCTGTTGGTGGAGCTAAATTAGGCTCTGCACCGTAAGTATAGAACTGTCAATTTATTCATTTGTTTGACTTCCAAACCATTGTTAACTAAATTGTTAACTGAGTTATTTCAAATGAGATTTTCATGATAACTGCAGCACAAAGGGAAAGAGTTGGTTTTTTGGGCACCGGTTCCAGTTCTGATTTGGGGTCTTGTGACAGAGTCACATTGTAGGATAGACAGGCAGCATAGAAATTAATAAATTAAATTAATAAATAAAACTGCCATTGGAAAAAATGTTCATATACAATGGCAAACTATATTTGTACCTCAGGGTGTAGCTTGGTCATTATTTAGCTTCTCCTCATAGTGAGCTGATCCCTTAAAGTTAAGTATTTCTTTCCTGCTAAATGCTACATTTGAAAAATCATAACCTATAACTGTCTTCCTCATCTCCCCTAGTCTCCACTTGTTCATATATAAACTGGAACTGCAACTCCAACCATATATATATATATATATATATGTGTGTGTTTTCTGAGGTTTTCGCGGGTATTTGTATATAGGTCTTTGGTTGTTCGGGTTTTCTCCCGCGTAAAATTGGAAGTGTCTTGGCGACGTTTCGACGAAGTCCCATTCGTCATCTTCAGGCTGGTGTTTTCAGCTTCGTGCTTTGAGCAGCAATGTGTGGTCTTAGCTGTTTCTTCCTTTTAACTGCCAGTGGGGGTATGAACTGATTGGGTGGGAGCTTGGCTGTGTTCTGATTGGGTGGAGGTGTGTTCTGAATGGTTAGGGGCTTGGCTGTGCTCTGATTGGCTGGGGGAGTGTTCTGTTTGGTTGTGCTCAGGTTAGTCTGAGTTGCAGAGGGGTTTGAGATTTTGGGCTGCCTTGCTATTTTTTGGCTTGCGTTCGTGGTCGTGCTTCCTCTTCATGGAGGGTGTCAGTTTGCTTCATGTATGGATTGGAGGGGTTTAAAGTGGCTAATGATGCAGCTGTGGTCTGGCTTCTGGTTTGTGGTCGTGCCTCGTCATCGGTGTGGCTTTGGGTTTGTTTTTTGCGTGTATATATATATATATATATATATATATATATATATATATATGCTTTCCTTAGGCTGTATATATATATACAGCCTAAGGAAAGCTTCTGACTGACATAAATTGAGTTTTACTTATACTGAATCATTTGTAAAGGGTGTGTCTATGAAGATTCTCAGTCATCCAGGTCATGGTTGTCTCAAAAGTGCTTTTTCAAAAGACAACTGGACTTTCTTTGTTTTTCCTTAAAGATGTTTCCCTGCTCTACCCCCACCCCCACCACACCATCCAGTCAGAACTGATGAAGCTTCTTGGGTGAGAAATGAAATGTCTTCAAGGAAAAACAAAGAAAGTCCAATTGCCTTTTGAAAGAGCACCTTTGAGAGAGATTTGCAAAGGGTAATTCTGAACTGAAGCCATTTTGTGCTATGTAGCAGGTCACCGCTGTTCTACAGCTTTATAATGCTAGACTGAAAGTGAAAAGGAGAGAGGGAGGGTTGTTGACCTTTGCACCTCTGCAGAATTTAACAGACAAGCAAAGTGCCTATTGAATTCTGAATCTTTAGAATTCAAGTCATCTTTTAATGATGATGATGCCCAGCTTTTAATTCTCTTTCCACTAATACCAATGCTACTACAGAAACTTTGAATGGTTTTGGGATGCAATAGTGGAAGGGAACTGACAACTTAAATTTCAGTTAGTGGTAGTGATTTTATTAGTTAGTTTTAAAAAAGCCAGCTTGTGAGTACAATTTGGTTTGAATGTAGTTGTTTCAGTTACTGCTGTACTTGCTATTATTTATTTACTTATTTATTTGATTTCTATAGCTGCTCATCTCAGTAAACGATGCTGGGCAGCTTGCAATATTAGAATGCATGATGCACATCTGGTTAAAATGATTCAAATATATTCCTTTAAAAATGTTCTTTTTAAAATCTGATAGTCGCTCTCCCATTTATAACAGCTTCCGGAATATAAATACTTCTCCTGCCACACGCTCGGAATTTGTAGCATCCGTGATCAGCTTTCTTCGGACCAATAATTTTGATGGTCTTGATGTTGCTTGGAACGAGCCAAGCCAGAATGATAAAAGGCATTTGGTTAAGCTGGTTCAGGTACATGTATATTAAATCATATCTTTGTAAATAGTATAAGGATATGATTTTCCTTGTTCTGTGCATATTAGACATTTATACAGTCATTTCATTCCACTAGAACAGGGGTAGGCAACCTTGGCTCTTTTATGACTTGTGGACTTCAACTCCCAGAATTCCTGAGTCAGCGAGGCTGGTTCAGGAATTCTAGGTATTGAAGTCCAAATTCATAAAAGAGTCAAGGTTGCCTACCCCTCCACTAGAACATTGCCTCACTTATTCAAATATACCGCTTATCCTTATGAGGCCAGTTTCCTCCAATATTTGTATCTTTCGGTATCTTTTTTTTTCCTCAATCAAATGATAAAGATTTTCTTCAGAAGCTCACCATTTCCCAAATCATCCAAATTTGCAAACTTTTTGAAATGCTCCTCCTTTTCCAGTAGACAGTCTTTACATGATATTATGTCCAAGAAATCCATTCCTTCAAATTTTACTTCAATTATACTTCCCCCTACCCTCACATATAATACTTTAGAGCTCAAGTGATCATTCTCTGGCTTCCAAAGAATTTATGTTCTGTAGACATCTAAAAGAATTATGTAGGAAAGGGGGAGAGAGATCAAACAATTTTCAAGCTGCTTCTTCTTCTCCTCCTGTGGAGTTCAGCAGCTTCAGGATTCATTCATGCTTTGATGCATTGGAAAGGGGATCTGCAGACAGCTGAGCAGGACAGCCTTTGGCCAAATTAGTTGCCACACAAATCTCACATGGATGGAGCATAGTGTTGTGAATATCAAAACAATTGTGAAACCCTGCTGACATCCCAAATCTAATTCCTTTGCATTTACCCTGCATTTACAAGGTTTAAATAACAGAATGAGCAAATTATCCAGAGATGTTTCTAACACTGGACTGCACAGCCTATTGTAGTAAATAAAAAAGCTGAAAATATTTGCAATATTACAGATTCTTGCTGCTTTTCTATGTAGCTCAAAAATTTGCAAGTTAAATCTTTTTAGCATTTATCAAGTCACAATAATGATTTCCGTTAATGTCATTTAGGACCTGAATCTAGCATTCCGCCACGAGGCCCGGAGGAATCCAGAGAGGCAAAAACTCATATTGAGTGTGGCAGTACCAGCTGGAAAAGAAGCTATTGATAATGGCTTTGATATCCAGAATATTGCTAGGTAAGTACTCTTATTATCATGACTCTTAAAATGCATATAAATATGAACATACTTTGGTAAACTTTCCCAAATGAACATGTCCAATTTATCATTTTTATACTTGCCTAGCTTAAAAGTCTCTGATAAATTTGTTTTATCACTGAAAACGGGACATTTTTAAATAAATGAAACTAAGCAAAATAAATAAGTGGTTCAAAACCATTTCAAGACATGTGCATGCAGAATAAACAGTTTATTTGCATTACTTGCATAATCTTCTCCTTTAAAGTTCTTTAAGTAGAATAGTGTTACGATTTTAATTAGAATTCATATTCCAGAAATATATGGCTCTCATCTCTAATTGTATTCATAAAGGTTAAGTGTTTTACACTCAGAATTCCTTCTGGAATTCAATGTGAGATAAAGGCTTCTTTCAGAACATTTTCAGATACCTAATAAAGATATAGTCATTGCCTAAAGTGTATTGAATTATTATTTTTCTTTGCAGATTTGCAGATTTCCTTAATGTCTTGTCCTTTAATTTTCATGGTTATTGGCCAGATCATAGTCACCCCTATACCGGCCATGGAAGTCCCCTTAGGAAGAGCAGAGCTGACAGAGGATCTGCTTCCGCTTATAATGTTGTAAGTTCTCTAGTTATAAACTTTTTCAAATGTCCTTGAAATGTTATAATTGACCTTGACCCTAACTGACTAATGATACGGTAGCTAGTATAAGCATTGTACTGATCTAATTATCTTGAAATCCAGCTCTAATGAATGAAGGCAATACAAATAGATTCAGCCCCATACCTGCAACACCAATCCCAGTAAGCAGATTGAAAATAATTATGGGCAGGAATTCCAAACATGTTTCATACATTATCTAGAAGATTTTGTTTGGCTGGGGAATAATTCATCTTTCCATTGTTATCCTGATGGTATATGGTAAGGACTAGTAAAAGTTGATTATTGTTCAATTCTAAGTTCCCTACCCAACATGACAATTTATAAGGAATGATAGGAACTCTATCCTCACATTCAGGCACCTCTTATATGCATGAACTGTCACAATCATGTAAACGGTCAATCTTCAGAGATCACATTTCTCAGTTTTTTAAGGTTCTCAACTCTAGCTGATATGTTATATATCCTCAGTTCATATGCTATATCTTTTTTGCTGTATCTGGAAGAGGAGAATGCTATCACTATATCATCCTATGTCATGTGCTATATAATGACAGATTTTATACTGTAGTTCTCTTATTTTATACTTTTGTTAATTTGTAAATGGAAGCTAAAGATCACTAGGAAACAAGGACTGAAATTATGTTCTTCTATTTAAGTAGAAGATGAGGCTATTTAAAGATGGAAATTCAAGTTTCTCTCCAGATCTTTCTTTCTTCTGTTTCAATTCTTAAAAACCAGACAAACAACCTCACACAATCAGCCCCTTCTGATGGAATCATCATCCTCCCAGGGACATTTTATATGGCTCTGGATCTGCCCAGAAAAAGAATTGTGTCCCAAGTTCTGGAAAAAGTTTGACCATTCAAACATATGGAAAAAGTATTTTGCATAAATATTGTTTGCAAATATTTACATATTAGGAGAAAATATACATCCACTGAACGCATAATGCATATTCAGGATATGCACAAAATGTTGAACATAAAAAATAAATATAAAACATACTCGGCTAAGAGAGAAGTTCCCTGTGGATGGGCTCCAGTACAAGCCCTAAAGCTCGGAAGACTAAACTTTTGGTCTCGGTGACCAACCCAGATTGGACCTGCAATAAAATTAGGTCCTTCACAAAATCACAAATGAAAAAATGGGATGGAATAAACAATTTTTTTTGGGGGGGGGGGTGATTATAAAACATTTGAAATATGTTCAACCCATAGCTTGAATATAGAATTTTAGGATAGTATGCCATATTGATGCTAATATCTAGATTCTAGAAATTATTTCCACAAATTATTTCAGTGATGAAATCTGAAATGCAGAGAAATATTGCATGTTCATTTCAAATTTGGAATAAAATTTGCCCCCCACATATTTGTTTCAGCACAGATTAGAACATTTAGAGCACTAAATTATTGTCTACCATCCATAACAAGTATTTAGTAAAATAAATGATGTAATAGTAATAGTGCAGTATAACAGAACTAATTCATGTCAAGTACCTGTCGGCAGTGACCCAGAGAAGTAGCCTTGAGGCCAATATTGTAGTGTAAACAAAGAAGATGGAAGCGTTCTTCAAGTCCTTGAAACAGAGATAGGATTAAGAAAAGATTCAAGCTGATCCTTCCCTGACTCCTTCCAGTGTAAGAGTCAAACTTTTGACTATTATTATAATTAACAATAAAGTATACATAGTCCTTGTTTAGCAACAATTATTATCAAGCTCCAAAACCCAAGAAAGACACATTGTAATTCTTCCAAGCAGATTTGTTTCTTGTTCCTCATCTATAGACAGAATCTTGTCAAACTAAGGCAAACTACTGGCTCCATAAAGCATACACTCTGAGAAATAATAGGGAGGAGCCATCGTCACTCTCTTTCTCTCACACAAACTATATGAACTGAATTGTTTCTTGCTTCTCTGGAATGCACTCCCTCTCTCCTGGGAATCCAGATTACATTCCATCACAGTTATGATGGTGATAAAAAGTAACTTTGTGACCTATGCTCACATTTACAAACACAGTTCTGTAAAGCAAAGGAAAGCTTAAGGAAGATCATAAGCATAGTCATGGTTTCACTAAGTGACCATTTTGTTTATTGACTGAGATGCCAGTTCCAACTGTGGTCATTAAAAGAGGATTGCCTGTATAATCCTAGTCTTCCTATGGAACAGATTTTTTGGATGTAATCTACTTTATATGGCTGACACTATTTAAAGCACATAATAAATAATAATGTCTTCTTTTTCAGGACTATGCTATCAGATATTTGAAGACCAAAGGTGCCCCTAATAGGAAAATTATCATGGGAATTCCTACCTATGGGCAGACTTTCACTCTTTCTTCTGTACAGACTGGGGTTGGAGCTCCCGCCTCTGGCCCTGGGCTAGCTGGCACATTCACAAAATCAGCAGGAACCCTGGCATATTATGAGGTAAAAACCTTTTTAGTGCTTTTCCTACTTGCACCTAAGCATGGTATCATGGCAACACCTTTGTCTTCTTCCCAATCTAGGAATGAGGCAAGTTTAGGTTGTTCTTAGCACAACTTGTGTTAAACTAGTATTTTAACTTTAATAACTTATTCTTAATCCTTATTTAAGATATTTAAGAATTGCTTCAAGATGTGTAAAATCTGTTAGACTTTGTCATCTGTAATCTGGGAGAAAAATCAAGTGACTGCAAAGATTTGAAATAGGCAGGATTGCCAATGGGGAGATGAGAATTTATGCTTTTATAGTTTTAATCTTGAGTCAGTAGCCTATATATGTACACACATACAGTTCATACATATATTAACTCTAGTTTATTCATATGAAGGATTAATAGGAATCCAGGAGGATTATAGTGCACAGCACTGTATTTAACCCTGTTATTATGCTTGTCCTGTTTTTTATAGTCCCTCCATGCTGAGGATGAACATCTGCAGCAAGGCACATTTTATATTTGTGTAATTTTCCATTTTGATTACAACACTGACCCCCACTGAGAAGGGAAAGTGTTAAAGAATAACAGTTTGAGAACTGCTTCTAAATTAAAAGAAGCACAGAAAGGGAACATTAAACCAGACAGATATTGAAAGAGGAAGAGAGGGTGACTCAATAATTCTTTTAATCTTTTGCATTAAGACAGTACATGAAGAGGAAATCCTCATCTATAGTTAGATCAAAAGAAGGAAAAAATCAGGTCTAAGGCTCCATGGTGTTTAGGTAGCAAGAATATTGTGTTTTATGATGCAACAAGAAACAGCCAACTGGAATTCCCAAAAAAACATTTGAGTCAATTGGCTGCCAGAAAGACAATTCTTAAAAAGATCCAGAAAAGATTGGCTCAGCATGTCCATTCTAAGAGTTCTTTGTCACATAGTGTTCGTGCACTAGGGCAGAGGTCCCCAACCTTTTGGGCACCAGGAACCCATTCCGTGGACAGAGGTTTTTTCATGGACCGAAGGGTGCGTGGTTTTGTGTGCTGCCTGTATCTCACGGATGGGACTTTGCTTGTTTGTGTGGTCCAGTTGCTGGTATACCACAGCCTGGTACTGGTCCATGGACTGGGGGTTGGGGACCCCTGCACTAGGGCACTCATTTCCTTCCAACTGTGGGCTGTTTTATGGACATGCTAGTTCTGGGAACCATGTTCCATTGCTAACATTGGATTGATTGATAATTAGAGAATAAAGAGGCATTCCCAGGGTAGCATCAATAAAATCTGAATAATTAAAGCAAGGCTGCTTCCTCAGAGAAGATCCTTGATTCTGTACATGCATAATATACATCTCCTATGGATGGAATGTAAAAATAGTCCTCCATTAGTTATTTTAATATAAAGGTTGATTGACACAAAATCAGACGTTTTAAAATATTTTGGGCCTAGGCTATTCAGGACATTAGAAAAAAGTGCAAGTAACTAAACTGAGATTAGTAATAGATTGGCAGCCAAATTAACTGTTTCAAAAGTATATAATGGTTACAACTACATAGATTAATCAGAATTAGAATAGATTTCTGTACTTGTTTAAGCTTCTAAACTACTTTTAAATACTTCAGACATTAAAAAAAATTACAGCGATTCAGTTGAAATAACCTGTGGCCATGCTGATCAGTCTTTATTAACCAAAAAAAAGCTACAGATGATGACAAATCATCTCAAACTGGTAAACAGTGTAATTGTTTGAGGTCACGAGCATATGACAACAGCATCAATGGTGAGACCTATTCATTATGGCATATCTCCTGATAATATACCAGTTTCCCAGATCTAGAAATGATCAGCCCATTTTATCTCCATTAGCAATCCAAAGCCTTTGCTAAAATGACAAAGAACAGGTAGAAAAAAAATGCTCAAGACAAAATGTAGATAACCTTATAACAATCCTAATGTCAAAAAAGAACCAATCTATTGACATCATATATTTATCCTTTCTAATTTATTACTGACAGATTTGTAGTTTTAATCATGGTGCTACAAAAGAAAATATTGAAGAGCAACAAGTCCCCTATTCTTATAAAGGAAACCAATGGGTGGGTTATGAAGATGAGACAAGCGTTCAGATTAAGGCAAGTATTGTAGGATTATTTATTATTTATTCATTAAGTACCAGTGGTGGTGATACAAATGATATGCAACATGAGAATTACTCCATTTGTTTAAAAAAAGAAGACATGCCCTGGTCATCTCCTGTTTGGATTACTGCAATGTGCTCTATATCAAGCTACCCCTGAAGAGTATTCAAAAGCAACAACTGGCACAGAATACAGTAAAGTGGCCCGTATAAGACTACTATGCATGAATTGCACTGGTTGCCATTTTGCTTTCAGGTCCAATTCAAGGTATTGGTTATCACCTTTTAAAACCCTTCTTGACATGAGTCCAGGCTATCTAAGCAACTATCTCATCCCGATGGAATTGGCCTGCCCCACTTGCAGAAGGGGCATGTTGTGGACCCCACAAACCAAGTAATGTTGACTGGCAGGGTCCAGGAAAGATTTTTCTGCTGTGGCTTCCATCTCTTGGAATATTGAACATCTTGAAGTGAGATTGTTCCCACCATCTTGGCCTTCTAAAAACCTGGCTCTGTCAGGTTCAAAGAATCAAGTTCATTCATAAGGTTGCAGGATAAAAGATTTATTCAAACCTATACACCTGAATTTAATCAACTAATGTCAGCACTAAATTGGCACTAGATAAGGCTCAATGGAATTCAAGGGAGGCTGGACTCGGATTTCTTCTGGTAATGCAGGGACTCAACACTGATAATGCATTTCACTCCATCTCACAGTTCTGCCTGCTCTTCTCCCACAGGCTCTGCCAGCTCGCTTGGGAGCCCAATGGAGGCATCCCATTCTGGAGATAGAGAATAGATTAGGAGCCCATCTCTACCCCATTTCTTTTTATATAGATTTTTGTTAACTGTTAATGCTTTAATTATTAATGCTTAATATTTTAATATTCTAATTGTTTTATATCATGCTTTATATCAGGGGTTCCCAACCAGGGGTTCGTGCACCCCTGGGGGTGCGAGATGATATTCCAGAGGGTGCGAAAACTTGGGTTTTCAAAATTATAGCGTATATGCATAATTCATTGCTGTTATTTTGAACTTTTGTATTCAGAGGATAAAATTTCAGAATGATACAATAGATAGATAAACAGACAAACGGAACTTATTTAAAGTAATTATTGGAAATCCCCATATAGATCATATTAGCTAGCAGCATCAAAACTATAGCTCTGACTGTCAATTTAGAAAAGATATTGATTCATTTACTAAGAAAGCCAATAAATTAAAATTTATTAAGAAATCCAATCTTCTATTTCATCAAAGAACAATATTCAAAATATGAGGTAGTCCACTTTTCAAAGAGGTGATGTGGTCATTAGACAACTTATCTTGAATTACTAAGACATATATAAATCTAGATTTTATTTTGCCACTTAGCAAATCTGCAAACAACTAGAAGCAAACAAAGTCATAACTAGTAGCCAGCACAGGTTTGTTAAAAACAGATCATGCCAAACCAATCTTATATCATTCTCCAATAAAGTGATTAAACCAGCGAAACGCAGAGGATGTAGTATACTTAGATTTCAGTAAGGCATTTGACAAAGTAGACCACAACCTACTCCTTGGTAAGCTAGGAAAAGGTGGAATAGACAACATCACCACCAGATGGATCTGTAGCTGGGTGACAAACCGTATTCAATAAGTAGTCCTCAATGGCACTACATTCACATGGAGAGAAGTAAGCAGTGGGGTACCACAAGGTTCTGTCTTAGGCCCAATATCTTCAATATCTTCATAAATGACTTAGATGAGAGTTATGTACATTCCCTTGAACAGTACTAAATACTTTTTACCTTCCAGGCTAAAGCACTACACAGTCCTATTTGAACATTCAAAACATATTCTTTTCTTACTAAAAATATCTGAAAATGGTACCTTAGGAGCCTAATAGTATCTCTCCTCTAATGATGTTTCTTGATCTTCTAGTGGCTTACATATAAGCCAATCCAAATTTGGGAAACAATAAGCCCTTTTGCAGATTTGAGGCAAAGTGAAAATTGACACACTTCTATGTGTGTTTTGTGAGATAAAAAGTTCATGTAAGCTTGTATTTATTCCAGAGTGAATACTGTATTTGAGGTTTTATTTCATTCTTTTCTCTCTCCTTTAGGTTCAGTATGCGAAGAACAACAATTTGGGAGGTATTATGATTTGGTCACTTGATCAAGATGATTTTTCAGGTACCTTCTGCAAGAAGGGCAATTATCCACTACTTGCTGCTATTAAAAATGAACTAAATAAATAAAAACATCTATTTGCCAAAAAAAAAAAAAGCCCCAGTTTTAAATAGCAGTAGAATCTTACAGGTAAGGTCAAATTTTGGCTTTCTTTTAGGGATTAAAAACAAATGATAACTTTCTGTGTGGTTTTGTTTACTTCTAAATAAATGCTTAAAGTTGTATTACAAATAACCAGTTATTAGTTCTGTATTATTTCATGGTTAATGTTATTCATTTCTTACCCATATTAAATATATTTTCATTATTTTGATCTATTTCTGCAGTATGTGGTCTCTTGGCACTTTGCCTAGGCCTTTCATTATATAAATAAATAGTTTATCTTGATCATACTGTATTAAAAATGTTGATAAGTTTCATTAATTGTGTTGTCTCAAAAAAAAGACTTAATACTTTCAATAAAGGATTTGCTTCCCTTTACTTTGGTATTTTGTATGTCAGAAATTATGTTCGTTCTTGTGATGAGTGGAAGATGAAGAGGTAGAGCGCTTTTTCTTCAAAACACACCTTTTTCCAAAATAATTTTGTTTTCAGTTGTAAACAATTATCCTGGACAATTCAGCTGCCCTTTCTCTGGAACATCAACAAATTAATTAAATTTGATTTAAGGACAAGCATTATATCACTTTTACAGAATGAATATAAGTCAGACGCTGCGACAAATGCTATTGTAACAAGCTGGAGATTTTTTACAAGTAACTCTTGTACTTAACTATTTTAGTATCATTGAAAGGGAATCTCTTTGAGCACATCTTTGGCTTAAACATACTATAAAAAAATCAATGAGATAAAAATGTATGTTGTTACTAGGATAATAATATGTAGAAGATGAAGAGTAGAATTGGCTACTATTTGAGCACATGGACAAACTGTTTTCTAATTAGTTGATTTGAAATTAAAGTATAAACTGCCCATAAAATTTGGTGGCCTCACAGTGGGTAACTACTAAGCTTTTTACATAATACAGTGGAAAATGCACTCAGTCCCAGAGAATTCACATATAGCCTATTTCAAATGCATGACAAAATGGTCCCTGATGACTGATCATCAGCATAATTCAACTCTGACTTATGTGTTCTCATGAAACCTATATTTATAGTTCAATATAAGCTCTGTCTGCTAAAATAAATTTGGTATGAAAATACATATATAAAGCACAAATATCAGGAAGACCAAAAACAAATGTGCTAATTCATTTTCCTGCCAGCTTTTTTAAACAGCTTTTAATTTTAAATTAATTTTTTGAAAAGGAAGCTCTGAAAGTGGAATAAAATTATCCATGCAAAATTCCCAGGTGTCAAAAACATTTTAAGCACACCCAGCAGAACATGAAAATTCACCCTCTGTCTTCCACTGAAGAATGAAGTTTGGGGTAGTACCAATGGAAATGTAGATGCTGAGGACCAAAATGGCACATGTAGCACCAAGCTCCCTCCATAGATGTTCTTTATTACTTACTGTATATAGAACATATATCTCTACATATGAATGCTAAACCAAAGAAGTGTTTTACTACATAAAAGAATATGGCATTTATTATGGCCATAGTCTCTAGGGAACAAAACACAGTGAAGATTCAAAATCTACAACTAGATTTGGAAACAATCTGTCTGAAACCCTGAAGACCTATTCCTGAAAGGCAGTGCCATTTTACTAAGAGATAAGAATCTATCAACAGTGACCCTTGCTCTTATCACTTCTCAACTGGACTACTGCAAGACACTTTACATGGAGCTACCTTTTAAGAGCATCCAAAAACTGCAACTGAGATAAATTGCAGCAGCCCAATTACTGACAGGCATTACTGCTCATACTGTACCACACTGTACCTATGTTTTTGACCCTACATTGGTCACTAATAGGTTTCTGAGGACAATTGTAATTGCTGGTTTTGATCTATAAAGCCCTATATGAACTACCACAAAGGCATATTTATAGGAAATATTCTATCTGAATCAGCTAATTTATCAAATTCTTCCTGCAAAAACTTTGAGTCACATTTTACTTTTGGAAAGGAAGGAGGATGGTGGTGACATGGGGACTTATTTCTCAGCTGCTGCTCCAGACGCACACATGCACACCCTCCTGCTAACTAGGAAGTTCCTTCCAAAAATATTTTGACTTCAAATGCAGGGAAGGCAGACAGCTGGTTTCTATAGCAGTATCTGTCTGCATCATAAATGACCAACACTTAAAAGTGCTTAGCAGGCTGCTGATAAATGTTAGTTTAATGCCTATTTGAAAATGTGCCAGGCCTCTATTTAAAAAGCAGTCTAGAACAGAGGTCCCCAAGCTTTTGGGCACCAGGAACCGGTTCCGTGGAGAGGGGGTTTTCCGTGGACTGGAGAGGATGTGGTTTTGTGTGCTACCTGTATCTCATGGATGGGGTTTTGCTTGTTTGCACAGACCGGTTGCTGGCATGCCATGGCCCGGTTCTGGTCCATGGCCCGGGGGTTGGGGACCCCTGGTCTAGAACAACGTTGGCAACTATAAGCTGTGTGGACTTCAACTCCCAGAATTCCTCAGCCGGCATGCTTTAACTGATTTAAACTGGAAAAAAAGGAATCAGGTTCTGCCAGTTGTCTGTTGCTGATTCCGTTACTACTGGACGTTACAGGTTTGTAACTGTTTCTGCCAATAAAAGCTTTCTTATGGTCATGCTTTTACTTTTTCATTATTTAGGAGAGGCACCATTTTGCCTCTCTGCCTGTGACATGCTAGCTAGTCAGTTAATATAAGAGGCAACTAAACAAGCCATTTCAAGTACTGACAATAAGCCTTTTAGCACATTAATAGAGCATGGCTGAACTGTTTGATTACCCTAGATTTGCATGCCATCCATTCCCTTGATGCAGCCTCTAATTCTAGCTCAAATTGAGTTTATCTGTCACAGTTTTCCTATATTTAGAGGATGGGGGGGGAAGGTCTTCCTCAATAAATGTATCTGTTGGTGGGATTTTAGAAACATTTCCCTGGAGAGTTTCTTATTCTATTAGGGAAGGCCCAGTGAGATTGTGAGTAACTCCATCCTCCAATTTATTCTAGTTTTACAAATTCTCAGGCACATTTCTTTCTCCAGGGATTAACTGCCAAGGAAGCCAAATATTAAATGTCTCTTATTTCTTATTCCCATGCTCAGTCTCTTTCAAGCCATATATTCTTAACCCAAGTTAAGATTTTAGCAGTCATACAAACAGAGGCAAAGGGTTTGCTTTTTAAATTGCACTAAGTGTTTGAATAGCACTTGGAAGGATTCATGGAGAAAGCCCCAGAATCTTTCTTATTTATAACACTGCAAGTGATTCCTATTTTGTTCCTGGCTTCATCCTTTCTGGCTCTGCTGGACCATTGGAAAACCTGTCCCAGTGCAAATAACATCTTTCAAAGAGAGGATCTAAGGAAAGCATTAAACTGCCTTTTCAGCTCTTTTGATGGCAGTTATCACAACCAATCCTTTCATCCAGTCAACCTCATTTTCACATGTAAAAACCTGCAGGTTACAGGTTTAACATCCTTTAATACTTAGGATTACTAGTAATAGTAGTAAAGTTGGAAGGGACCTTGGAGGTCATCTAGTCCAACCCCCTGCTCAGGCAGGAAACCCTACACCATTTCGGACAAATGGCTGTCCAGTCTCTTCTTAAAAACTTCCAGTGTATTTATCTATCTCTTCACATACAAGGCATGTGAAGTATTTTTTATCTGTTGCTTAGCTTCTAGTTGTAGCTTTTTATTTTTATTTTCAAAACAAAAGGACAGTTTTGTTCTCTGTATTAAGAAACCATGGGATAAATGGGATATGTTTTCTCTATTAAAAATAACAGGAAATTATTCACCACCACCACCCATTTTTTGATAATTATACTTCTTACTAGTATACATTGGGACAAGACAATCAGAAATTATCAGGTACAAATGATGGTAATTTTCAATTTCCTCAAGCTGTTGATGCTTATTGGACATATTTTCCTTTGGAAGATTCTCAGGACAGGGTTCCATGATCCTTTTAGATCAGGTTGATCCCACTACATTCCACAATTTGATATGATTGACACAATCAAAGGCCTTTCTAAAACTAATGAAACTAATACTGACTTCCTTTGGGTATTCTTTTACACTATCTCAATTTTTCAGTGCACACTACCAATGTCTTATGTCTCTTGGTCTTTTCTAAAGCCAACTTGAGCAATTGGCATCTCCATTCCTATGAAGAGTTTTAATCTATGTTGAATGATCCTAAACCTTATTTTGCTAGCATCTGAAATTAAGATCATTGTGCAAATTTTACTGGTCTTCTACAAATTAGCATTTTACTCAAATCCAAAGAAAGATACTAGATAAAATTACTAGATACTAGGTTAATTATCACACATGAGAAAAGATTCAAGAAAGTTGTTTCTTCATACATAAACCAAGGTTATACATAAAGGGCAGAAGTATACACAATTGAATGTAATGCAGCATTTCTAGCTAAACATTTTCTTTTCAGAGATAGCAGAATCCTGAAATAGATGTTCCCTTAGTTTCAATTGATCCTGGGCATCCCACTTTTTGAAGATTCCAATAAATTAATCATAAGGCTACTTTTCCCAGCTTCCGCCTATAGCTTCTGCCTTTGTTTTTATAAGGCTCCAAATGTTCCTATCACCACCAAAGAGGAAGAGGCTCATATAATTTGTCACTGTACATGGCCCCAAAAGGCATGCCTCACTCAAAGTAAATATTTATTGGCATAAGGCTAACAGTCTGCAGTATTGTGAATGCAAGTTGCCATTCACAACAGTTAAGTATCAGAATGAACATCTGCATAGTTCATTCATACTCCCAATAATTGAAACCAGACTTTCTCCTAGTATGACTTGTTCTGTAGCCAGTGTTTTTCTTCAGAACTCAAGTATATTATATTAATTGAATAAAACTAAGCTTTAAATCTGATTTGAACCTATTCTATTTAAAAAATATTGACTTAATTATGTGTGTCACAATTAAGTAAAAATGATCCAGATTTATAGTTATATAGTCTATATGATGTCATTCTTGAAGATTATGTTGTTCTATAACTACTAATAAGTTGAGAAAAAAAGTGATCAGGGAGACACTGTTTTGATCTATTCCCATTAAATTTTCTATCATTTAGTTTCTAGATCACTCAAAACAGAATTTGTATTATGCCAGAATATCAGTCAGGTAAGCTGATAATCATTTTTACTATGAAATATTTTATTATCTTAGTTAGAATTACTTCCCTTGAAAATTCTCCAGAAAAGATGTATTACATATTGACTAATGAGATCTATTTAAAATTCTTTTATTTAACCAAGTGGTTTCATTTCTCTCAGTATCTCAAAGCTCATAATCAGATCCAATACAGTATTTTTTCCACTGCTATAGATTACAGAGATTAAGTGTAGTTGAGGTAGTCCTCAACTTACGACCACAATTAAGCCCAATTTTTTTGTTGCTAAGGAAACAGTTGTTAAATGAATTTCACCCCATTTTATGACCTTTCTTGTCACAGTTGTTAAGTGAATTACTACAGTTATTAAGTTAGTACACGATTGTTAAGTGAATCTGGCTTCCACATTGACTTTGCGTGTCAGAAGGCTGCAAAAGATGATCACACAACTTGGGACACTGCAACTATTATAAATATGGGTCAGTTGCCAAGCATCTTAATTTTGATCACATGACTATAGGTATGCTGCAATGATTGTGAGTGTGGAAAAACAGTCATAAGTCACTTTTTTCACTGCCGTTGTAACTTTGAATGGTAATTTGAGAGTCCTCCTGGACTCAGTTCTTTGACCCGATGGCAGCCATGGCCAGGAAGATTTTTGCACTGATCCATAGCATGTATTAAATATGACCCTATCTGAAAGCACTCATAATTTAATCATCTCTCATTTAACACAACCTATCCAGGGCTAACCTTGAAAACTATTCAGAAGTAACTATGGTCACTTCTCATTTTGCCTACATAAAACCTCTGCTTTATGAGTTGCCCTGGCTATCAGTGGGCTTCTAACTGCAATTCGAGATGCTAATTGTCATCTGCACAAAAATTCTCCATTGTTTTTGCCCAACCAGGAATCTAGGGACCTAGGAATCAGCCTTTGTTGTGGTTGTGATCTTCTCCCTTAAGTCCACATGGCATTGACCATGCTGTTTTAAATCTTTAAATCCTTGCCTCTTGCAACAAGCTCTGGGTAGGATTGGGTTAAGATCAATATTGGATGTATGTCTTATGACTGGGGCTGGATTGTTTTGTTTTTCTGACCTGCCATTGTGTTTATTTTTTTATTTTTATTTTATTATTGTTTATTTTTATCATCATTCTATTGTTTTTAATCCTAAAATCTAAACTGCTTAGAGGTGCCTTTGTGACTGAGGCAGACTACAACTTGATTGAATTAATTAAGCATATACCTCATCATGTTACCCTTTCATTTAAGTACTGTATAACTGAATAGTTTAGGTCTTTAGATAAGCGCATGCTACAGAAGATAGCGCTTTATGGATAAACAGGTCTCTGATTGGGAATTCCAATCTGCCAAACAAGTTTGTTCAGAAACAGGAAACGCTGTTGCTCACCTTCTACCAGCTATATAGACTTCTGAACCAGCTGAACATCCGTTTTCAACACTCACTGCCCATTGTGTAAAAATAGGCTGTTTTAGGGCCTTCGAAATAAGTATGCAATAATAAAAATAATTCCGTTGGCTCAACCAGCCTTTATTTCCAAAGGCTAGAGAAATTCTTTTTCCTCACCCAAGAAAGACGGGCGATCCGGAGTTAGCTAGCTGCCATAGGGTGAGGGAGGTGTAAACACGCAGCACTTCTTCATAGTCCGCTTTCCAGTATTGACAGAGCTGAGCCGAGCCCCCCCCCCCCCGCCTAAGCCCCGGGCCAGGATTGAAGACTGAATTTGCCGCGAAAATAATACCCGCCTACCGAGTTACTGCTGTCAAGTAAAAGTACAGTTAGTCAGAACCGCGCTGCAAAAATCCGGACGACTATTAGCTGGCAATAAAGAACTACAACAATTGCGCTTCTGCCGTCTAGAAGTCGCCCAGGTTTCGTAGGCTGGCTGAGTTCTCGCCCCGGCCGCCAGAAGCTACGCCGCGAGCCTCCCCAGCATTTCTCTCCCCGCCTTTGCAGATACGGGTGAAGCCCTCGTGTCTGAAAGCGCGACCAGAGACCCAGATCCTCAGTATTCCAATGTGGGGCTCAGCCCTGTCCTGTTTCCATGGCAAGAGACGGACTCCAAACAGCTCGGAATCCTGACGCTCACCTCCAGCCAGCGCCCTCTCGCGTGGGAGCTCATAGGTGAGTCGGGCGGGGATTGGCTAGAAGGCGCGCCGGACAAGCGCTTTTGCCCCCCTCCTGCCCCCCCCCCGCAGTGTGGAGCGCCGTGGCTCGGCTGGAGAGGGTCGCGGGTTGCCTTCGAGGCGCTCTTCCTCTGAGGAGGTGCGCTGACGTGGGAGCAAGGGAAATCCGGTGATTTTTGCGATCCTTCTTCGGGATTGCCATGCCTCAGCTGGGGAGCCCGACATTGGGCCGTTCTAACGTGCGGGTGCGAACACGGTTGGATGTGCGAACACGGTTGGATTTCCAAAATTACCTGGATCCGGAATGGGAACTGGACGGTAAGTAAGGTCCAGTTTAAAGTCAAAGCTCCGAGCAGGCCGATTAGGTAGTTGCTTCAATGAAGCGATTTGGGGTTTTAGGAGGGAGCTCTTAATTTCACTTAGTTTACTGTGTTTTTATTGCTAATTTACAACCAAGAGAAAGACGCTTCTGAAATTATTTGCCTCGGGTTCCAGAATAAATTTACACCACCATGATTCTATATAGACTTCTTTTAAAATAACACTATCTAAATGGACTGTCACAGTACTAAAGGAACATAGTTCCTTTGTTCAGTCATTTACATACCAGCAAAATTAGATGGATGTGTAACACCTGCCTGCCAAATATATATATTGCAGTGCGTTATGGGACCTTTAACAATATATTTTCTTTCTTGAGAAATAGATAGCATTGTTTATTTCAGAATAGATAGCAGCAAAAAAAAACCTACTTTCAGTTTTCCAGGATGTAATCACAAAACTAATACATTAGGGGTTAATCATGGAACAAGTGAATAAATTAGTACAGTATTCTAAATTTCCATAAAGGGCCCCTCTCTTTCATCAATAAATCGGAAACAAGTATCTTGTTAGTTAGAAGTTTAAGTCACTGCAGAGAAACATCATAATAAGTTGGCCATAGAATGTACCGTATGTTGGAGATTATCTAGTTCAAACCCCATTTACTATAGCATTCCAAATTCCAACTGCAGCATTCCTGAGAAATGGTTGCCCAGCCTCTGCAATATATTTTTCAAAAAGGAGAGTCTGCTATCTCCCAGTTGTTGAAAAGCTTCTCATTGTTGAATTTCTGAGAGCAGAAATGAATAGAATGTAAACAGGCAGTTGCCACCAACAAGTGAGTGTGGTAAACAAAAAGTCGGTTGACACATATGTACAGATAGTCCTCAATTTACAATCATTACTGAACCTGGCAGTTGGTCACAAATGGTTGTAAACTGAGTCACATGACCAACCCATTTTACAATCTTGTGGTGGTCGTTAAGTGAACAACATGGTCATTAAGTGAAACCATTGTTTGCTATGGGCAGTTTTTGTGAGAAACTGGACGTAAATGCCGATTTTGGGCAAAAATCACAGTTACATGAACACAAGACACTGCAAATGGTTGTAAATGCAGGCCAGTTGCCAAGCGCCCAAAACATGGTTACATTGTGACCATTGTAAATGTTTTGTTGTAAAGTTCCCGAATCATGATCATATGACTGAGGATCATGCCATCACTATGGGGATGTTGCAATGGCTGCAAGTCATTAACCTATTTTTTCAATCCCCTTGTAACTCTGAATAGTCGCTGAGAGAGGCAGTCAATAAGTGAGGACTATCTCTATTTTTCCTTTCTAATTATGTTTTTATGTAAATTCCAGGTAATTAAGTGAAATGAAATAAACTGGCTGGCTATATTCTCTGTTTCACTGAAAAGTTAATCCAGTAGATACAAGGTGTCATTCTGCTTTTTTATCATTTTAATTTTGTAGCATATTATAAAACATTGATACAAACATTTGACTGACATTAATTCTTATTTGGGTTTTCAGATGTACAGAAGGGAAATTCATTTGGATCCTGTCAGGAAAAGAAAATTTTCCCCTTTCATCATGCACCAGACCGATTAGGTAATGAGTACGCACCAATTAAAGGTGATCCTGATCTTGGGCCAGGAGCTTATAATCATGCAGAGGCAAGTAGTGCTCCCTTTCATTTTTATTTTCTCGCCAAAAAGATATTTAATTTGAAGTAAAGAAAGGATATTTACTATTCAGATTATATTGATTACTTTTGCTTTCAAAATTTGAATATATTGTAAATAAAAGCAATGTCTCTTGTCTTAAAAAGTAGATAATTAGAGAATATTTGCAAAGATTTGAGAGACCACAGTTGAATCCCATTCATCTATTATTTTCACAGGATGACTCTGTACTTGATACTGTCTTTCATTTCTATCTACTTCACATGATTGCTTTCAGCAAAAATCCATGAGTACAAGTTCTGTTATTTAGACTAATGAACCCTAACATTTTGTGTAGTGAATGTGCAAGCTACCTAACCCCCCCCCCACCTAATGTTCACTGAGGGACATCCAATTTATGGTCACTGTCTCAGTTTCAGTCCATATCAAGAGGGGAAAATGTATTTTGTCATATGGAAAGAAGAGACATATTTGGTGAATGGACTCAGTTGAATTCCTCAACTCATCTGTCTCCTAGATCAGAGCAGGTTTTGTTGTTTTAAAAAATAGGGACGAACTCTGGGGAAATGGTATAGGAACCATGGATCATTGTGTTTGTTGTACTTCTGTCCCTCTGCTACTGCTAACAAATTTTAGAAATCAGAAGATGGTTAAGGATGGACTGGATCTGTACTAGGCTTGTTGCCTGGTTGGCTGCTTTTGTGGACCTGTGCTAGTTGCCCCTTGTATTTTATTTTCATCTCTTTGCTACCAGTGTCTTTCATCACATAGACCAGATAACTGCATGGGATTTTCCATTTGGAGAGGCTAATCAGGACTTTGGAGCTTGGATTATCGGTGGTGGATCGGTGTGTGGGTGTGGGGGGGGGGAATAGCAGAAGAGGGTAGTCTGATGTGGACCCCCCCCCACACACACAGGCTTTTTCTCTGATTGTTCCAGAGAGGGAGAAGATTATTTTCCTCCCAATTTTGTCTGTCAGCTAAGTCTTTTGTTTGTGTGCTTTCCCACTCAGGGTGAGAGCCTGAGAAAAGAGTTGATGGAGGAAGGTGGGCTGGGTGCCTGAGGGTGCTGAAAGCTAGTAGGGCTGAAGCAACTCAGAGTTCTTTCTCCCTCCCTGGAACAGATGTAGTTAGTTATTATTGGAGTTCCTGGGCCTTTGGAATTTGGTTGTCTGGCGGGGAAGACAATGTGGCCATTGAGGGGACATGGGTGGGCCATAATATTATAATGGTGATGGGCATGGGAAGATATGGTGGGAGACAAGCAGGTCGCACCTAGGAAAATATTTCACATTCCAGCTCCTTGGTTTTAGCATCTATGCCCAGCAGCAGCCTGTCAGAGGCTCTGACTTCTGCTTGTTCCTCTTAAATGTCAGGTTAGTTTTTAATAAGACCTTTTTGATCGTAGATGAGAAGGCCAAACTGGCATGTGTTATTGAGACCTGGTTGGGCCCAGTAGTAGGGGTCTTCCTCTCACAGATGTTACTGGCTGGGCTTCGAGTTTGTCACTAACTAACAACACGGAGCAGGGGTGCTGACACAGCAGTTGTCATCTGAGAACTGCTTTTGGATTTCAAGGGTGCTGCCCAGCAGGTGACAGGAAGTGAGACCCTGCTTAATAAGTTGAGATCAATTGGGATTGTTGCTATTGTACCAATTTCTCTGCTGTATAGCAACCGCCCTGGATGAGCTACTGGGAAACCCAGGAGACGAGTCAACTAGTGAGGTAGTGCTACCATTTTTAACATCACTTTGTCTGCTATTCTCTGTTTTAGTTTGTTTTTTTTATATTTTACAATGTATGTGTTAATGTTTTTAGCTCTGTTGTATGCCAACCAGAATCTCTTGTTTGTGAGATGATCAGTAATCTAAATTGGTTTAATAAATAGTAAGTGGGAAAACAAGTGGAGTGTACCATTTCTTCAACCATTCTTCTAAGTGAGTCAAGTTATCCCAATAAGTTAGGGGGGAAAGGGGGCAATTGCTTTGAGAAAATTCTATTTAAGAAAAAGTTAAATTTAGGTAGGATACTAAATTATAATTATTTTATTTTATTATTCACCACCGAGCTCCAACATTGACTTTTTAGTTGTCTGTATATTATAATTATTCCTGTTTCTTTGCACTACTCATGCTTTCTCTGACAGTGCTCAAGATTTTTTTTACTTTTTATTAACAACTTCTCAGTAGAAATCTTAGTTTTGCAGGCTCTACTATGCTGCTATACATTGTTTCTCCCCCCCCCCATTATTATAAGGTAGAATAACTTCACCATTTGTTTTAATATATAGAGGAACAATCTTATATATAACTTGGCTCAGAGACCACAGAGTACTAAAGGTTACAGCATGGGAGCAAGAACAACACCACGTTTTGTGATAATAAACAAGGTAAAAACATTTTCAGTACATATACTCTGCAGTAGGAGTTCTCTTCTGCAGGCATGAAATCCTTCAGCAGACAACTCTTGCAGCCAATGTTCCTTGCATACATTGAGGAAATTCACTTTCTATACTGTGGGTCCCATCTAAGGAAGGCCTTCTTTGTACTCTAAAATTTTAATTTTAATAGAATGCCAAAATATTTCCACCACAGCCAGCAATACAAACCAGGGTGGTTTCATGCTTCTCTAGAAGAAAACAGTAAAAGTAGAAATATTACTTATATTCTTTAAGTGTTGTCACATTTTTTTTAGTGTGAAATAGACTACATTTGATTTGCTGATATACTTGGACTGTGGAGTTGGGTAGGGAGCAGAGATGCTCAAAACAAATTAATGCTTCTATCCCTGTTTATCCATAAGTTTAAATGAAACTCTGTAACATTGTGCTGTAGAGATATAAAATAATTAAAATAAATTCATCATTAAAATAAATTCAATACTAGCCCAGACAATAGTTTAAAAACCCAGTGTTTTGGGACATTACTGAGCATATGAAACTGGATAGATAAAAGGTTTCTTTTGCTCAGGGTTTAAATAGTTAATGGCTGAGCAAACAGACAGGAAGAAGATCATTTAAAAAAAATCCCAATTCATTTCAGAAAAGCTCCAGAAAAAGAAGGAGAATTAAGCTTTATTTATTTGTGTGACATTGCCTCACCCATCCTGCAACATTAATATCTTATGTTGGATGATTTCATATACCCAAAACACCTAATTACACATTAAATTATTCTAATCAGGCTCATCAAACTAGAAAGGAATCTCTAATATGGCTGTGCTGTATTTTGAATCTCTATCTAAATAAATTCAAAATACAGCACAGCCATATTAGAGATTCCTTTCTAGTTTGATGAATCTGATTAGAATAGGATCTCTATCTAGATAGAAACAAAGTAAAGCAACTATGTTGTTTTACAGGATTGCACAGTTACAATCCTGGTGTGTTGAAGTAATTGATAATGCACAAAAGTTTACAAAAATATTAAATTGAATTTTAATTACCATTCCTGATTTATTTACAATATATTAATTCTATTAATTCACAAGTTATTCTATTTTGATGGGGTTTGATAGAGATAAAATCAAGATTATTCACTCGGTTTAGAACTGAAAGTTAATTGGAGTGCTTATGGACTTCAAATTACATTCTTTATCATTGCATTTTATGCTCTCTCTTTTTTTAGCATTTGACCCCTGCACCTACAACGTATCAGTCAATATGGATCAAAGAACACAAGCATAAGACTGAACATTTCCCATTTCTCAGCAATATACCACGGTTTTTAGAGCAGGTTCACGATAGAGAACTCTTTCCTGGGTACTGTTTTTCATTTTTTTTAAATTAAAAATTGGTTATGGAACCTGAACAATAAAGGAAGTTCAGTGCTAAGGGGGATAGGCAGGAAAATCTTATATTTCAGCTTTGTTTTGTTTTTCATTTAATTTTGGAAAGGATTTAACTGTGCATAAGCTGGAAATGGTGTGGTTTAGTTAGTCATGGATATATTGGAGGAACAAAGCGATCTTTAGCAATCATTAATATGTCTGAATGTCTTAATACAGTGATGGTGAACCTTTTAGAGACCGAGTGCCCAAACTGCAATCCAAAACCCACTTATGTATGGCGGGCGCAACTACAGTGGACGTGGCAGACTGGGTGGGCATGGCCGGGGTGGGCATGGCCTCCTTGACGTTGCTTAGGGGGAGGGACACCTGTGGGAGCCGGGCAGGGCAGGGTTGGGGGAGATCCAGGAGATCTCTGGCGGGTGGGATGGTGGGCTCCCCAATGGCAGCTCCAGGCTGGCTGACCTTAGGCCAGTGATGGCAAACTTTTAGAGACCACGTGTGCTGGGGTGATGATGCATGCCCACAGAGAGGTCTCGGCGTGCCGCCTCTGGCACCCGTGCCATAGGTTCGCCACCACTGTCTTAATATATTCCAGCTGGAGCTCCCATAGTGTCAGTGGGACTCCTGTACTTACAGATTTCGTTGGATTTATGTGTTGGTATAATTGCCATCTTATGCTGTTTTGGAGGCTCTTCAACAAGTATTTTAACAAACGCTAGTAACCCTCCCAAAATTTGCTAGGTTAAAACGAAAACCTGATACATCTTAACCTTGACAGTGTATAAAAATTACCGTAATACAGCAATGAAATTATTGTTGTATAAGCCCTGTGGGCTTTTTTTCATTTGAAAACAGTGTGTGGGAGGGAGAATCAACAGAACCTAAATAGGATATCTGTTTTACTAATCTGAGGCATACTTTTTGCATTAAGTTGAAATGTCATATGATTGCAAATTATTGACAAAAGACTGCTTTTCTGTTAATTGACAACATGTAACATTGCATTCTTGGAGCCTTTCTGTCTAAAGAGCTTAATAAAAATGCATTCTTTTTCATCATAAAGTTTTAAACCTTTACCCAATTCCATCTATAATTTTATTTTTTTAGTGTTTATTTTTATCAAAAGAAGAGAGGAAAAAGATAAATAAAAAACTACAGCAAAATTTTTAAAAACCCTATTCTTTTTTATTTATACAATTTATCAATATTATTTTGGAGCCCGGGTGGCACAATGGTTAGAATGAAGTATTGTAGACAAACTCTACCCACAGCCTGGAGTTTGATCCTGACAGGCACTCCAGATTCACTCAGCATTCCATCCTTCCGAGGTCAGTTGGTTGGTAAAATGGGACCCATATTATTGGAGACTATATGCTGACATTGTAAACTGCCCAGAGAGCTGTAAAGTACTATGGGATGGTATATGAGTCTGAGTGCTATTGCTATTGTATTGCTATTTTGAATGGAAAGTGTTTTTTTAACAATTTAACCAATCCAACGCAACTATGAAAAAAGCACAATATGCAATGCTATATTTATTTTAAGTTATATAGTACATAGCATAAAAATTGCAGTACTGTATATAACAGAAAATAATACATATCTGTTCTCTCTCTCCTGTCTCCTTAGACCTGGAACTTATAACCCATACAAGTTGCCACATAGGCATGTCAGCTGGCCAGGGAAGTTTGGTTCCCCAGACTGGTCTTTAGTTCCAATGCCACAGAGAAGAACTTTCAGAGCTGAGGTGTGAAATTTAGGGTTAACAATTTGGAATGACAGAAATGCTTCATTTATTGAAATAGATCAATATATTTTCTTGTCTTTGAGCAACAGCTTACAGGAAACCATGTGGTAACCTATAGCTACTAGGCTATTTGTTGGGGAAACAGATGATCTGTTTCTATTATACAGCAATTACTTTATTCATTTCTTGTTTTAACATTTAAAGACTATCATGGCATCAAGTTATTTGAACATCTGTTGACGTAAATTCTAGGTTGGTTATAGATGGCTTATTTTCTGCCATACAAACCAACAGGTTAGTGGATAGCAAACCAGGGTCGCCTGATGATGATTTTTTTTTGTGAACCTCCTCTCTCTCCCTCCAAAAGTGTTTGGCTGGTTCACTTCAGATGGGCCCTTAAAATGGTTCTGTCTACAGACCTTTATATGGCTTTGCTGCTCTTTGATACTATCTTGTCCTACAACTAAACATGGTTAATATTAAATAGAATAAAATGATTATTCCATCTTCTATATTTGAACCACAATAAATAGATTTATGCTGGGGAAAAGAATATAGAGATTCTGCTGCTCGTTGCTGCCTAGGTAAGATTATGAATACAGAAATTGTTCATCAACAAAGAGGAAGGAGAGAGATGGGATGGAAAGTTCAAGTTATATACTGTGGAGCATAGCCATGCTCCTGAATGATACTCCTCTAACTAATATGAAGATTAAAAACCTCCTTTTTTATGGGGGTGTTTTTGATACAGTCTTATTTATGTAACTTCTTGGACAAATCCATGGCATTTTCTTGCAGAATTTCTTGTAATTGTAGAAATGGTTTGGCGTTACTTTCTTCTTCAACTTTCCAGTCTAGTGCTGAAAGCTAATGAGCACCCAATGTCCTGCAGTTTAACAAGAACTGTGTCCCCCCCCACCACCACCTCCAATCCAGCACATTATTATTATGCCATGCTAGCTCTGGTACATAAATTATAATGATATAATAGTATAAGTTTATATCATAATCTCTTTATGGTAGTTATTTTTTAAAGCTGATAACACTTGTTTCTCTTCCTGCAGAATTTCTTTGCCTGAAGTATTTTGTGGTGATAGATTTGCTTTTAAGCTAAGGAGAGACAGTCTTGATTACTATTTGGATGGGGGACCTCCCCAGTCTAGACAGGGAAGTTGGATAATATTCCTGAAGAAAAAATACAAGCCATATTCATATCATGCCGACTGAATTGCCCTCCAAATTTATACTTTTTATTATTTGTCCAGTAATTATGTAATAATAATATAATGATAGCAATTATGTACAGTAATGTATTTAATTTTTTTTTATTTTTTTATTTCAGCTGCTTTCAGATAAAGAATTCAAGAAATATCGGAATCTGGTGGCCTATCTGAGCATATATTATAGTGATTAATTCTTGTGGCTGAAGATATGTCCTCTCCTACATGCTTAGACCACTAATTTACTTTTTTATCCTTAGAATTAGAGCATTTTTAATTAGTTTATTTCTTGGATTCAATAAACAGACTATTTCACAAAGAATGTCTTTGTTAGCCTTTTAAATGCTTCTATTTTCCTAATGCTCTCCATTGTTTCAGTATAACACATTTACTCTTCGGAAGATGTTTCTAATATAAGAGTTTGGATTTTGCTAACAGCCACATCTGTTAAAATGTTTCTGGTTTTGAACAGTTTAACTATAGTAATACTTAAGAAAAATGCAGATTTTCAAAGTATGATTTCTACTGATATATCAGTTTGAGAGTTAAGATCACAATGCGCACAAACGTCATGCCAAATTGGAGAAATTATTATGAGAGCAAGCATGTATTGATTAAAAGCTAAAATTGAAAATATTTTGTCCTGCTATTCCACTGCACTGGCCAGTATTTTTTGAAAGCCAAAGGTATTAGAAGTATGTGCCATATGATTTGATATAGTCTTTCTTGCACTGCATATCCAAATGTGACTAAGAGTGGAAATTCCATGAAATATATGTGCAGCGATATGTGCAATGACATTTTTAGAAGTTTATTTTAGCACAATGCTCTTTTCTGTCTACTGTTTCATTCATACTGAACAAGAAACAGAGATTTATCATGTGAGGAAAGACTTCCATACTATATTCTTGTAGTAGAAACCACGCTTTTCATTTAACTTGAACTGAGTTGTAGCTATTATATTTAGGAACTAGATTTATACCTTTTATATCCATTATACTTCCAGTTGATGAAGAACTATAACTGAGCTGTATAATCTTTTACCTTCTGTACTCTGTATGGGAGAAAACACGGGTAATAGAAAACATATTACAATTTCTAGTCAGTTTTGTTAGATAATATATTAAATTGTTATAGCAGGCAATTACTCTGCTGATGTCTTCTATGTAGCATGATGCCTAAGTACTTTTCTGCACACCACTGTATAAAAGGTTTTTTAAAGTTCCTTTATATATTCTTGATTTTTTCAAAAATTAGCTTTCATTTAGAAGTTTCATGGAACTCCTTATGATTCCAATGAAATCCACTGTATATCCTGTAAACTAGTAGATTTAGATTAGAACGTACACAGAACCACTTGTAACAAAATTGAAAGAATTTATAGCTTTCCAAACAGAACCATCAGTTTCAATCCTACAGTAGCCTTCTTCATGGTAGTATCTTTTAGATGTTGATTGTGTAACTCCCCTAACCCCTGTCCATTCATCAAGCTGGCACAAGGAGACTTTTGGTACAAATTTTATAAAAGATACTACACTAGGAAAACATCTTTACAACATAAATCCTGTCTCTCTCTATCCAGTCATCCACTTAGTAAAGTAATTGATAACTTACTGTTAATAACCAAATATCCGTTTTTACATTACTGCAGTGAAAGAAACTTAGAAACTGGTTATGAGTCATTGATTTATTAATATTTCTTTTTCAAAGAAATATATCACCTGAACAGAAAGAATTTAAGACGTGTTAGTCTTCCACTGAATGTTGTTCTATTCTTCTTACTGAAGCCTGTGGAACAAATACACACAAAAAATGAACTGTAATTGAATTTCAAGGCAAAAAACTGCAGTCAGAAAAGACTGAAGGTGGGACTTTCTATTTTTTTTAAAGTTTAATAGCAATCTTCTCTGAAGAGAGTATAAGGTTTGGACTACAGCATAAAAGAATTAATTCTTTCACCTGCTTGCACCATAGTGCCTAAATTGTCTTGCTCGTTGCTATTTTTTTCTGGGGCTTATATTACAATTGTATTAAACACAACTTATTTTTGCTCAAAAGCAAAATGGCAGCTTCCTAAAGAATTTGGGGGAAACAAGTTTTGTTTTCGGTTATGTTTTATTCAATTGTGGGAATACAATAATAGGTTTCCCATTGTATTGCTTTAGTTTGACCCATTGTAGATATATATGTATCTGTTATTTCGAATAAAGCTTTAGGAGTTTTAATACTTGGCCCCAACCTTCATTTTAACATTATATGATACTAAATAAATGTATCTTTAAAGAATTTCTGATGGATACCATATGAGTGCTCCAGATAACTTTTTCCCATCCAAATCTTCCCTTTTAAATAGAAAAAAATCATGAAAGATAATGATTCCAAATTGTATGTTTCCAGTGTATGTTTCAAAAGCATTTTCAGTTAAACCCAGCATATACTTGCAATGGCAAAGAATTTAATGACTTTCACAGAAATTTCGTAGGATTTATTTCATAATAGGAAAATCACAAATTCTGAATGCAGTTAATAAGGGGGCAATCAATTCTAAGCATGTCCATTTTGTCCCAAGAGTCACTCTTGCCTAAATAATAGTGCATCCCATGATCAAAATAACTCTTCACCTTATATCCTTCACAATTTTCTCAGCCTTTCCTCATACACTATGAAATCAATCATGCTTAAAGATTTATAATTATTTTGCTATGCGTATAATCGTTCCTGTGGCATGCCATGATGATACTTATGTTTAAATTGCATATTTGAAACAAGGATGCCTTTTTCTAAGAAGACATCCACCAATCACTTTATTTATTGTTGGGGCTCTGAATAACCCAGTCACCACTTCTGTGCTCTATTGTCTCCACCCCCACAGTCATGTCACTAAACATGTTTTAATTCGAGGACTTTCCATTTATTAACTGATGTTGTACTGTATTTTCTTGTTAGCCAACTTCATTCAGGTCTTTTCCCTCTAGAAAGACATTAACAGTAGTCATGCTTCACCATGTAAATTTTTTTGAGTCTAACCCCAGAATATAAATTGGCCATTCGGTTTAGACAATGGAAGGTTAAACTTTTATCTACTTCTAAGTGGACATTATAATGATTTGTAATGTTGTCCTGGGAATTCACCTCCTACTGTCATCTATTCTTATTAACTTTTGTTATTATTACTGATATATTACTGATATATGTTGGTTACTTTTATTTCTATATGCATTATGACTGGATATTATATGATCATTTCATTTTTAAGAATTGGTACCTCCCCAGACTTTTCTTTTGTGTTATATCTTTTTAGATTTGAAAGCCGAGAGCAGGGACTGTCTCTTCCTAATGATCTCTAAAATCAAAGTGAGAATTTACCTATCTGAAGAGCAGTGGGAAAGATGGACACAATAGTATTAATACATTACCTCAATTCATTAGAAAAGTCTTTAGTTTATTCACAAGGGGGTTGATTCCTTGACCACAGAAACTGCCAGAGAAGTCATCCAGACCAAGAGTCCAGACCATGGCTCCTCCATACTTTTTCCTCTTCAAAAAATCAGTCTGCAAAGAGAAACAGCAGCTTTTAGAATTAGCTGAGTTGAAGGTATACTTCCTCATAGAAGAGAGAAGTATACTAAGCACCTAAGCAGAGGAATACAGTGCAACATATTCAGTCATGGAAACTCCCATTCCCTGCTAAGAACATTGGAGTAGGCCAGTCCAACTGTTCCGAATGTGGTCCAATTTCAAGCAGGCCAAGAGAGATTCTTTTTAACATATCTCCACTGCATTTAGAATGCACCACAGCAACTGTCTATAACACATTCAGAATTTCTAACTGAATAATATTGTAGTATATTTCTTGTTGCTGAACCAACAGAGTTTGTCTAAAGGAAGAAAATTTTCATTTATCTTATGAATCAGAATGAAACAAAATAAGGAATTATCTTTCAACTTATAAATAATATATATTCAACATATAAATAATTCAGATTGTTGTAAGAAGTGACATACAAGTGTATACACAGAGACATACCCACACACACACACACACACACACACACTCATATACCCATATATACAGAAAAATCACTTCTACTTCCATTGTGTTGAACAAGTGAGTGGTCCAACTACTAAGTTCAAAACTGAGCAACTGAGAAATAAGAGCATGTTTAAATTGTATAAGAATACAAAGATGTTTAGATTTAGCTCTATCACACGGAATGAATAAATAGTTAACTGGACATTGGACCATTTTGTTATAAAGTTCAGTGGTTCTATGTGAATCTTAAATAGGGATGGTGCATCTGAGCTGCAAAAATCCTGACTATCACTAGATGGTCATAAAAAGCACTTCCTGTCATTTTATAACCCTTTATTAATTGTCTGGATTTTTGCAACCCAGAGATGGTGATACTGACTCAATGCTCTGAATCTGTTGACAAAAATTCTTTGTATTATTCAGTGGCATCAGGCCTAGATACGAATTTATACTGTGTAACAGCATGACAAGATAACTTTAATGAGCAGATGGAACTTTTCCATATACATTGTATATTGGAACTTAGTCATGAGTTTATTTCATTGGTTAAACTAGATTTAACTCAATCATTATTACACAAAATGACAACTTACTTTAAAATGAAAACTTTTTTCATCATCATATCCAACCCATTCTCTATTTTTGAAAGCATATGGAACCTTCTGTTTCTCAATCCATGCTTTTGTAGCTCCTTGTAAGAATGTACAAACCTGTCAAAATGATTATGATCTGTTTATTCAAAGCAGTTCAGGAGAGATAACAAAATAAAACAGAATTATTTTTATAATATTCCCCATTGGAATAATTGCTATTAAAGAGTATTGTCGTTTGTGTGCTCAAATTTTCACCTACAGCAGTTTCTCAAAAATAAATGTAGTATAAGAATGGGAAAAGTGGGTCAATTGATAGCCAATTATTAGTGTGGGGGGGGGGCATAAGAATCCCAATTTAAGTGACTTTTGTAATTATAGTAAATAGAAACAATTTGGTTCTGTAAATATTTACTCAAACAGAAATTCCATTAAATTGCGACATTGCTCCCGATAAACATGAACAGAATTATATTGCTAAGATTTTCTTATTATTGTTAGGTTTTGATTTTTTTACCCTATCTTTCTTTCAAGTATTTTGGAGACACATTCCAAGGAAAAACCAAGGATAACCAGGGGTTGCCACCTAGTTAGATAACTTATAATTTTTAATAAAATGAAGGGCATTTTACCTCATAATATGCCAGGATACCAGACTGTTTGGTGTAGACTCCAGGACTGCCTCCACCAGAGGCTGGC